TTTGACAGGCAAGAAAGGGAAGCAGTGGTGTCAGCCCTATGTTCTAGATGGAAGAAGGTTGGCACGTCCCTCTGCTCCCAGTGGGCTATACGGCTGACTTCATTTTAATTCTCGAGTGACTGCTTTCACAGGCAAGAAGACTGTGTTCAGTGAGGGCTGGAACTTGTCCACACTGACACCAACAGGGAATGGCAGAAGCAGGACTCACTTAGCAAGACTCCTGGCATCAGGATTGTTCCGAGAGCAGATGAGTGACAGCTCTGCTGTAGCCCTGGCTACATAGTCATCACCCACCTCACTCAGGGGAAACAGGCCCAGAAAGGTTGAGCATCTCATCCACAGTGACACAGCACTGCAGGTCACACTCAGAGGCCCCTGGCCACCTGCTCCACTCAGTCACCCCCTCCTCCAGGGCAGCATTGTCAGTTGTTCTAAGATGGTCACAGTGAGACCAAAGCCTGTAAGGCTATAGGGATGAGACTTGTAAGAAGGAACGTTAAAGTGACCAAGAAAATGCCCAGGGATGCCAGGCAGCTCCTCTAGAAACTAGTGTTCTTTTTTTGGTGGCACTGGGATTTGAACTCTGGGCCTCATGCTAGCTAGGCAGGCACTGTACCATTTGAGCCACTCCACCAGCCCTTTTATGTGTTGGGTATTTTCGAGATAGGATGTCGAGAACTATTTGCTTGGGTTGGCTTTGAACTGTGATCCTCCTGATCTCTGCCTCTTGAGTAGCTAGGATTACAGGCGTGAGCCACCGGCTCTCAACCGTGTCTGCACTTTTAAACACACACCAGATAGCCCGCCTAGAAGTGTGCTGGGGACACAGAGGACCTGTTCATCAGGGTGGTGTTATGACACCGAGTGGAAGCAGCCTCGACACCCAGCGCAGCCGCAATCACGTCAGTTTTGACTTGTCCACGTGGGATTGACTGTAAACCACAGTTTACAGATCAGGATGTTTTAGTAAGACTGGCAGAAGTTTTTTGTTACAATGATAAGTAAAAAATAAAAGCAAAGCAAATCATTTGTGTGTTTCTAGTATTATTTCAACTTTGGAAAAGCTTAAGAAAAAAATAAAAAAGAAATGTACCCCAATTTTTTTTTGGACTGGGGCTGTAGCTCAGCGATGAACATTTGCCTAGCACGTGCAAAAAGCTCCAGGTTCCATTCCTAGCACCGAAAAAAACAAAAACAAAAAAACCCCAAATATACACACACCAAACACTGAGAGCAACCTCCCCTGTGGTGGGCCTACCGTGCTTTTCTTGTTTTACTGTCTATTTTGGAGGGCAGTACTGGGATTTGAACTCAGGGCTTGTGTTTGCCAGGCAGGTGCTCTAATACTTGAGCCACGCCCCAGCCTGTTTTGTTCTCCTATACTTTGCATTATTCCATATCGACTAAATGGTTTTCAGGAGGTCAACCCTCTCCCACACAAGTGGGTACTGGGGAATATGTGGGTCCCACCTGCGGTCACAGGGGCCGTGGGTGTGGTCCTCTTTCTCAGGTTGGGGCAGGTGGTCACTGAGATTGGGTTGTCAGGAGATGGTCAAACAAGGAGCTGTGTGGGGCAGGAGCCCTTCCTACCTGGATTGCTCACAAAATGGAGCAATCCTCATGAATGAGAGATTTTTGAAATTTGAAAGGGTCCCCAAGACACCCTTTCCATGTACCAAGGCCACTGACAGCCCTGTGGGGGCCACCTTCCTTCCAAATGTGATGCCTTTACAGTGGGAACACACGTGACAGAGCTTCCAGCAAGCAAGCACTCACTGAGCCTGCGTGTATGTGAGTACATGCATGTGTGCGTGCATGGAAGCCCCACATTCAAGTGTATGTGTGTGTGCGCACAAATGCCCTGCATCCATGTGTACATGGGCGCACACACTGCGTTCTTGTGTATGTCTGTGTGTGTGTACACTTCAGGCTGCATGTGCACAGGTACACACCATATTCACGTGAGCCTGTTAGCTGTGTGCTTCAGCCCCAGGCGCCAGCTGGGGACATTACTGCTGCTGCTAGGATTCCCAGCGCAGCCTTTCCCTCTGCCCCAGCAACCTTCAAGTGGGGGAGACAGAGGTGACAGGCTCCTGGAAGCCTGGGCCACAATTCACCTGTACCTGGACAGCTTAGGTGCACTCATATTTGCCCACGAGGTCACTGTTTGCCCACATCGCTGTGTTCCACTTTGCGTGGCTCAGCTGAAGACACACAGCACCCCCTTCCCAGGCAAGCGCGTGCGTGCGTGTGCATGTGTGCGTGTGCGTGCGTGTAGAGGTCTGGTCACAGGCAGGGGAAGGTCCCGGCCATGTGGCAATTGGGTGAAGACCTGGTGGAAGCCCGACGGCCCTGACTCACTTGAAGGCTTTCAGGCAGGCCTCGGGGATGTGCTCCTTGTCAAACTTCTTCAGGGAGTCCAGAAACGCATCCACCTTGCCCATCATGATCTTCGCAGCCTTCCAGCTCTTGTCCTTGGGGATCTTGCCCCCGGGGGCCGTCAGGATCATGACAGCAGCTGTGACATTGACCACGGCGTCTGGAGGTGACCCAAAGGACTTCAGCTCTGTCAGGTTGTTCTGCAGAGGACAAAAGGCATGTAAGCATCACCACTGATTCCCCTTGGCCAGGTCCTCTCCCCTTTCCTTTCCTGTGTCACCTTATTCAGAGTGTCCAGAGCCTCCTGTGCAGCCAGTAGGGCTGGCTCTGCCTTGGCCAGGTCCGTTTCACAAGCCTTTTGTTTCTCAGTGACATTCTAGAAAGAAGCCAGAAGGGAGAGATCGTTGTAGGACTGTCCATCACTTTGTCTGTGGTGGGGCAGGTGAAGGGGAGAGCCCCCAGCCAGGCCCCAGTGGCTCTGAGCCCCACAGCAGAGACTGCACCTTGTACCACCATGCGTTTGTGGCCTTTGCCAGCTGTCCCATTGATGGCTGTCCCATTGATGGACATCCCCCTGTGCCTGCATGTGTTGTAGCTGGGTGAGCCTTTTCCCTTGCTACCTTGGCTCTGGCCCTGAGCCATTAGAGAGGACAGAGCTGGTGATGGTGGAGGTGGGGGCTGCTTTGGAACAGGTCCTTTTATTGACTCTAACCTCTGGGACCTCTGAGGTCTTCTTGAGCCTGGCACCATTGTGTGACCCTTCCACACAGGACACCTCAAAGCCTGCCACTCCTCCTCCTTCACTCCTGCATGCACGCCCTCGCTGCCTGGGTCAGGAAGAACCCTCAGCCTTCAGATGCCATGCAGACCAGAGGTGCTTGGCCTTTGTTCACAAAGAAGAAGAGTGGCAAAGCAGCCACCAGGCCCTGAGTGCCTGGCTGGGCTCAAGGAAGGACAGAAAGGAGGGCAGAGATCCTTCCTGAGGACCCCTCTGCCACCCTCCTTAGCGACAATGTGGGACATGACTAAAGGAGTGGGACACAGGAGGCATTAATCAGCCAGTGGTGCCATGGTGGGTCATTCCTGGATGGAGGGCTAGAAAAGGGTGGGTCCTGGGACATTAACAGTGCACACCAGAATCAGACAAGTCACAGGAAACAGGGTCATAGGTCCAGGCCCTACCTTGGATCCAACTCTGCCACCTGCTAGTTTAAGATCTTGGGCTAGTTAACAATGACCCAAGCCTCAGTTTCCCTATCTACCTAACAAGCTGTGGTTGTCCAGGTTAAAATGAGAAAGGGTGGGAGCTATTGGCCACCCTGGCTTAAGTCCCCTTCCCATCCAGCACCCTGCTTAGGACCTGCCCCTGTTGGGAAGGAGGCTGTCTGCCCAAGGTGGGAAAAGTGACTTGCTGAAAGGAATGTTGACTGTCACTTGAAAAGAGAGTGGGTAACAACTAGAAAACCCTTTTTTTTTTCTTGGCTGTATTAGGACTTGAACTCAGGGGTTCACACTTGCTAGGCAGGCACTTTACCACTTAAGCCACCCTGCCAGCCCTATTTTGTGATGGGTTTTTTTCGAGATAGGGTCTTGAGAACTATTTGCCAGGCTGACTTCAAACTGCGATCCTCCTGATCTCTGCCTCCTGAGTAACTAGGATTACAGGCGTGAGCCATGGCGCCCGGCTGGAAAACTTTTAATGTAACCATTGTAGAGATGTGGCCTGATGACATAAACCCATGAGGAGGGCAGTGTATCAGGCTGTAAAGGTTCCTAGGACTTTCTCCTATCAGTTGTTCTTCACCTCACTGCCCACCCCAGGCCATTGACATCCCAACATCTGGGAGAACCCCCAGCAGCAGTCTGAGGGCCAGGACTCTGGTGGAGGCTTTTCAACACCTTACATGCTTGCAGATCCCAGCATCTTGTTAAAATGTGGGCGAGGTGATACCAGCTGGGGGGATTAGGCAGGCCAGCAACCTCCTGGCTGTGCCGCCAGAGGTGGCCCTGCTTTGAGCCACTGAAGGTGGGCATTCCTGTAAGGCAATCTCTCTTCTGAGCGTGGCCTGCACCTGGGGGAGGCCTCCTTCCAGGGTCCCCTGGTTTGGGAAACTCATCTTTGTGCAAATGCCTCAGCCTTTTCCGTGTCTGTAGGTGGCACATGATGGCCTAGGGAGGCCTGGCGGAGCAGAGCAGCGAGCAGCAGCTCTCCTGAGGCCCACCTTGTTAATGACCTCCACCTTGATCTCTTCCTCATCTGCAACAGCTTTCTCTTTGCTGACTTTCTCTGTCTCCACACCGACCACCTGGATCAGCTTATCTGCGTTTTCATTCTTCTGCTTGAGCTCAGCCTCCTGAATTGCCAGCGTGGCCTTTAAATCATCCACCTAGGGAAGGAGAAGCCAGGAGATGGGTACGTACGGGCTGTGGCTTGCACGTGCCACCCTCCAATGGCCGGGTACCAGGGGCAGCAGCCTCGGACTAAGCAGAACAGAAGGGAGTCAGTGGCTTCTGACTCCCACTGGCTCATTTAAAAGAGTCTTCTAGTATCTCAAAGGTCAGTATGTATTGAGCACCAAGTGTGTACACAGGGTCACATATAAGACACAGTCCAGGCACTCTAGCAGTTGGCAATCAAGGTGACCAACTGAAAAATGTCACAGTGTTGAGGGGTTGGTGTCCCTGGGCCCTCTGGGTTGGTGGGAGAGTGGGAAGAAGAGCTGGGAGCAGGGATCAAAAGCTCTCTGGGAGCCAGCGTGAGGCCCAGCTTGTTCTCCAGTTCACGGTGCTCCCTCAGCGGTGCCCACAGTGGGCTGTAGAGATGAAGCCAGGACTCCATTATGGAGGGCATTTAAAGCCAGGCAGAAGACTCGAAAATCAATACAGTATGAAAGAAAGAAAGCATTGCAGAAGCTTTCTGAGCCAGGCACCTCAGTGTGAATGGCACACAAGAATGGAGGCCTTTTCATTGACTACCTTGGACTGGAGAACCAAACCTCCCAGACACGGGGTGCCGAGCCGTCACTCACGCAGAGCGTATGTCATAAGGTTGACATTACCAAAGCGTTTCACATCTGTGTTCTTATATTCTGGTCTGGGAATGAAAGTTTCTCGAGGGCAGGAGTCATGCTCACGCTACATCATGCAGTGCTCAGAATTACGTATGATGATCTCCCTGTGGAAGCCTGTGGTGGCAGTGTCACCACTGAGGCCCCTGGAGGAAGGAGCTGGAGCGGCAGCCCGTGCTGTGTCTCCTACCTGGGAAGCTGTGCTCTGCAGCTTCATCAGCCCGTTCTCCAGCCTCTCGATTTTGGCAACCAGCTCCATTCTTTTCTTGGCCAGCAGGTTCTGGTAGAGTTTGATCTGCTCCAAGAAGGTCTTAGGGGTGGTGTAATTGTAGCGCCTCTCAGTGGCCAGGTACATCTTGGACATCTCGTTGACAGTGGTGTGCACATAGGACATGAAGAGGCTGATGGAGGTCTTCACTTCTGGCTGTGAGGACCGGATAGGCTAGTCATCCTTGGGCCCTTCTCCCACTGGGGCCCTAGACTGGTCCAAGGGGCCCAGAGGTAAAGGAGTCCCCTGTCTGCCAGAGCAGATCAGCAAGGTGGGGCTTGCTGGACCCACTTGGACCCTGGACAAGAAACATAGAGACAGATAAAAGAGGCACAGGAGAGCAATTCCTTCCAGGCCAGTGAGACTGTGAGGTGCCACTGAACCACTGCAGGGTTTAGCCCAGTGTCTGGGACATGCACGAACATGTGCGCACACACACACACACACACACACACACACACACACACACACACACACACCCACACCACATACCCTCCTTGCGTACTTGAGGCTAATATGTTTTCCTATCCCAAGCAATTCAGCAAACATTTATTGTACATTTCCTATGTAGGGTCCTTGGGTTTAGTGACTTTTCCTAGCCATCTGCATCTGCCTTACTACCTGAGACAAGCCCTGAGAGCTGTTCCCCAGAAGTGCTCCAAGCCATCTCAGTTTTAACTCCGGTTCATTTGAAAATATGTTCCTCCAACACACGCTGCTTTGCCATCTACGTGGTGGCCCCGACTCCCTATGTGGTGCCAGTGCCCGTGTCTGCTCCTTGGGGGCTCCTGTCTTGGAGACTGAAAACCTGAATCTGTGCCCTCCTTGCCTCACCTGGATGCCCTCGGTTTCCTGCAGGAAGCGAGCGCTGACGGACACCAAGGCATCTTCTGGCCACTCGTGGAACCAGTTGATGGCCGTGCAGTTGACCACAGCAGGGAATTTCCTGGCTCGTACACGCAGGACAGAGCCCACGGGGGAGAAACACAGAATCACCTAGATGTGGGACACAGGTGAGCCACTCACCGGGGGTGCCAGTGAGGTCAAAGCTATCACTTTTACAGACTATATAGGGCCTCGGTGTCCCCAGGCCTGAGAGCACTCCTGGATCTAGGTGGCCAGGTACAGTCATGAATCAACTCTCAACTTCACGTCCTTGCTAGTGCTGTGAGGGTTCAGAGTAACTCCACCTCTGCTAGACTTCTGAAGCAAGGGCTGGACGTAGCCCCCACGCTGGGCAGATGAGGCTCAAGAACACGGAAACTGAAGTCCCTTCTGGTTCCAGCATGAGACGTGGAGCTGCCGGCAGCCCCTAGAGGACAGTGGATGAGGTCCGGACAGGACACCAACTCCCTGGGACCCCAGCTGGAGAAGGTGTGTGGAGACAGACCCTGGGGTTCCTTTGTTAGGGGGGACCTTCCTTCTCACGGAGCCTTGGTCTCACTGCCCTCCTCCTTCTTGGTCCCTTTATTTGGGAGTATAGTCGGTTGACTCACTGGAAGTGACCGTTGGCTGGGAGCAGCTAACTGTACTCATTTCCCAGCTCTCTCTAGAGGTGTGAGGGTGTGGTCAGGCCCTTGCTAAAGAGGAGCCCAAAGCAGGTGGCAGTCGTTGGGAACGCTCGCCCCCAACATAAGACCCATTGACTGTGTAAGCAGAGAGGATGCTGGCTTTATAGCACGAAGTGGGGGGAGAAGTGACCACCGCAGACATCCAGCAGGGCTGTGGCATTGGACCCTGCACCGGGCAGCCTCTCTACCTGAACTCTGAGGAGGAACCAAACGGCCCCAAGTCCCTTTGGTCTCACTGCAGGAGTTTAGCCTCATTTCCTACAGGTAACGTTGAAGGTCAAGGTGAGCTTATCTATTTACACTTGGTGTATGTGTACAAATAACACTTTCACTAGCCCTGAGGCTCTCTGACGGCCCACGTGCGGTAAATCTGAAGGTTCCAGCTCATCGGATGCTCCCCGCCCTGCCACCTTCCACTCTCCTTATGGATTTCCATTTCCTGGGAAGAAACAGTCCCAACTCTACAGAGCACAGACCTGAGACCCGAGGGCCGGACCACCCGAGGTGAGGTCCTACCTTGAGTTGCTTGCGCACTTTCCCGATGAAGAATTTCCAGCACGCCTCGCGAGTGTCGGTCATGCCGAGGGACTTCACCTGTGACCTCATGGAGGAGATGATGTTCTCCACATCATCCTCGGTGAACAGCCCGGGGATCTCCCCAGAGGCCAGCAGGTCATTGATGAGCACCAGGAACTGCTCCTCGGCCACCTGGGAGTCTGTCATCAGGAACACCGTGGGCACACTCTTCACTGCTGCCTTTATGTACTGAGCGGCCAGGTCGATCTGGACCCAACAGGGACACAGTTAGAGTCCTTGACGAGAAACAGTTCATGTAGAGCATTTTCTATAGCCACCCAGAGCCGGACCCTTGGGGACCAGCTTTCCATGGAGACAGTGGAGTACAGCCACTCTCTCAGCAGCGGGGACAGCCCAGGTACCCGATGACGGATGGATGGACATGTGATATGTGGTGTGTCCATACTGGTCACATGTCATTCAGACTTAAAAAAAGAAAGGACATTCCAAACCAATGGTACAGCAAGGATGAACCATGAAGACATCACACTGAGTGAAACAAGCCAGGCGTAAAAGGACAGGTAACCATAGGATTTTACTTTGAGGAGGTCCCTGGAGCCTCATAGCCAGGGAGACAGAAAGTGGGGGTGGGGCTGTCAGGGGCTGAGGGAGGAGGAGTGGGGAGTTGTTTAATGGGGACAGAGTTTCAATTTTGTAAGATTGGAAGGGCTCTGGAGATGGGTGGTGGTGGTGGTGGTTACATCACAGTACCACTGAACCAGTCACTGAAAATGGTTACCATGGTAAACTGTACGTAATGTGTATTTCACCCCACACGCAGAAGGAAAAACGTCAACAAAACCTTACATGGAAGCCCTTAAAGAGACCCTAAATGAATCCACTCCAGGCTCGGATGGGGGACGCGATCCTAGGAGATGAGGCAAAGCAGGCCTCCTTTCCAGGGTTTTGATGACTTGCTTTATCTACGTGGGTCTTATTTTTGTTTCATACAGAGTCTTGCTACATAGCCCAGGCTGACCTCGAACTTGAGATCCCCCTGTCGCAGACTCCTGAGTGCTGGGATTGCAGGCATACACACGTCACCGGGCCTGAGTCTGATTTGTTTCCAATAAGACCTATGCACTGCACCAGTGGCTCACACCTGTAATCCCAGCTACTTGGGAGGCAGAGATCAGGAGGATCGTGGTTCAAAGCCAGCCTGGGCAAATAGTTCATGAGAACCTATCTTGAAAAAACCAACACAAAAAAGAGCTAGCAGAGAGGCTCAAGTGGTAGAGTGCTTGCTTAGCAAGCGCAAGGCAATGAGTTCAAACACCAGTACTCCCAATAAATAAATAAATAAATAAATAAAAAGACTTGTGGGCCTCTGCGATTTTCATTTTTGGTGGAACTGGGGTTTGAATTCAGGATTTTGCACTTGCAAAGCAGGCACTCTACGGCTCGAGCCACACCTCCAGGCCATTTTGCTCTGGTTATTTTGGAGATGGGAATCTCATGAACTGTTTGCCTGTTTGCCTGGGCTGGCCTCGATCCTCCTGATCTCAGCCTCCTAAGTAGCTAGAATTGCAGGTGTTAGCAACGGGCACCCAGCTTCTGTGACTTTCTGAAATACTTTGAAAACGTCCACTGCAGGAACCCTGAACACTTTAATTTCATACGTTGGAAGCAAGCCCAACTCCTGAAGTCTGTTTGAGAAATGTCACCAAGGCTGCTGTTTTAGAGTTGATTGGGGTCAACAGTGAGTCTCAAATTTCATATTTTTGGACAAGCTAAAGCTAAGAAAAAAAAAAGCAAGAGGAAAGCTGGGTATGGTGGCATATGCCTGTAGTCCCAAAACTAAGGAAGATTCTGAGTTTGAGGTCAGCCTGGGCTACACGGCGAGGCCTTATCTAAACAAACAACAAAACGAAGAAGCGAAACAAAAAGCGGGAGGACTTCAGCGGGTGCAACTCAGTGGTAGAGCGCGTGCCCTGCAGGTGTGAGGCCTGGGTTCCGTCCCCGGCACCCCAAAAATAAGTAAGTTCAATAAAGAAATAACAGAAGGCCAGGGTGAAGCTGGTTCGTGAGGGTTGATGGGGGTCCAGAGAGTGGATCACAGCACAGAGCTGCCATGGCGCACGTCTGCGAGGACAGGAACACTGTGAAGACCAAACACCCGCGGCTGGTGCTGAGGTGAGGAAAGAGGAACAAAATCCTCACACGGGCAGAGCAAGGAGAATGATGCAGTCACAAATGCAAATCAACACAATTTCACTGGAGACTGGAGAAAACCCAGCAAAGCGTTCAGCTCCAGATGGGAAGAAAGATCTGAACCACACCGAGCGATGTGGGGACATCAGTGTAGACGGACTCCACCAGTAACCCACAAGGCCATCACATGCTAACGGGGTTCAGGAGGCCAGGTGAAAGGCCCTGTTCCTTCACACTGGGACTTAAAAATGAAGTCAACTTGGGCTGGAGGCATGGGTCAAGAGAGAGTGCCTGCCTCACCAGAGCAAAGCCCTGAGTTCAAACCTCAGTACTGCTAAAAAAACAGAAAAAAAAAACTGGAGTCAGCCATCTTTTCTACATAAAGAATCAGATCCATCCGAAAATACAGGACAATGAGGCCAGAGAAGCCGGAGGCTGGCCCAGTGGTTGTCCCCACCGTCCTCACCAGGGTTTCTGCCAGCAGACCCCTGCCCACGCACCTGCGCCATCCTGGGCACTGAACTCTGGCTGAGTTCCAGACCGTCTCCACTCAAGCCACCTGGCAGCCAGCGACCGCCATGTGGTGTGGGTAAGGTCCCCTTAGTGGCTCCCTGGCATCATCTGGGCAGAAGCGGCCAAGACATAAACACAGAGCGACACGGCTGAGTGGTGTGCTCCGATCAATTTCAGGTCTCTTCTCAAGCACCACAATCACTCGCTCTAGACTAATAGAGTTTGACTGGCACACAGCTCCCTGGGAGAGCAAATTTTCGGGAAGGAGAGATCAATTTAATAAAGCCCCAGCAGCATCTGCCTTAAGCACGGAGACCTGCTCCCACTAATGCTTAATAATTCAAAATGCAGCAATCAGAATCTTGGGCATGCAGCGAGACACCTAGCAATGGCTCTGAATTTTTTAATCTGGAGATCTGGGGAACATTTTAGAACAGCCAGTGACCAAGGGCAAAAATCAAACCCCTTTGATCACTCTGATCCCTGAAGACTTTATGGGGCAAGCCACTGGGTACTTGAGACGCCCTCCTTCCTGCATCACAGGGGCCACGCAATGGCCACAAGATCAAGACACTTTGGACAAGGACTGTGGTGACAGTCAGTGTCTGGGCTGGCTGGCTGCTTCATTGGACAAAGGAGTGGTAGGACTTTCCTCCCTACCCCGAGGGCAGCTGACAGTGCGGTGCCTCACCTTGAGGTCCGGGATCCCGTATCCCTTCTTGAGGGTGATCTGGAACACGTCCAGCGCGCTGATATAGGCGGCCAGGCGAGAGAGGCTCTGCTTCCCGCTGCCACCCACACCCACCAGCAGGGCATTCCCGCGAGGAGACTCTAGGATGCGGTTAATCCTGCAGATGTGAGACACGGCGTCCTCAAACAGCACCTGCACAGACCACAGGGGTCACATGGGGTCACCTGCCAGGACAGCAGCAATTCCTGGCAGAGGTGCCTTGCTGAGGCGACACACAGGGTGTTTGCTGGAAGTCAGATGCTCAGAGTCCGCCCCCACTTAGCCATGGTTTTAGTTATTCACGGTCAACAGCGGTCCGAAAATATTAAATGGAAGATTCCAGAAATAATCACTTCGTAAGTTTTAAATTAACCCTTTCAAAGCATGTTAACTCTTCTGTTTTATTGTGAGTCGGTGTCAACCTGTCACTGTGCCTAATTTATAAATTATGCTGTACCATAGGCATGCATGTGCAGGAAAAACCATACATGTAGAGCTTGCCGCTGTCTGTGGGTTTGGACGTGCACTGGGGGGGGTCTTGGACGGGATCCCCCGTGGATAAGGAGGGGAACTGCTGTATATTGAGCCAGGAGAGGCGCTCGGTGTCCCGGGTCCCTGCCATTGTATTGAGCACCACTCACCAAATTCATGACCGCGTTGACTTCATTGTAACTGTCCAGGACATCCATCAGGAGCTTGTTCAGTTGAGCCATGTCAGTCACAGAGAAGTATTTGGGGTCACCAATCCCTTGAGCAAAGTGGCAGAAGATGTTTGGTTTGGCAAATAAGAGTTCTTCACCAAGATCCTAGAAATAAGAGATGAAATACTTTTATTTATTTATTATTTTGCCACCAGGCTATTCAGATAATTAACAGTGGCCATGGTGGCCCTGCAAAGATAACACCCTAGGATGCCAGGCCAAATCGCCAGGAACAGAAACCACAGCTGCTATCAGCTCTACAAACCACTGGTCAAAAATATCTAGTGGGATGGTCCATGGTCCACTCCCCACCATGATGTGGAATGAAGAGATGGCCCAAAGAATGACTGCACCAAAAGCACACAGGCCAGGCCAGGAGGGGACATGGGACTAGACAGGCCCTTCTCTCCAACAAGTGGGTGGAGGAGGACATCACACCCTGAGTGCTCAGTTCCTTCTCACTTGACTCAACAATCACATAATCGAGTCACTTATGGGACCTTACATGGATCGCCCCATCCCCATCAAGGCCTTCAAGAGGGCTCAGTTATCACCAGGCGCCAGTGGTTCACGCCTATAATCCTAGTTTTTAGGAGGCAGAGATGAGGAGGATCATGGTTCAAAGCCAGCCCAAGCAAATAGTTCATGAGACCCTGTCTTGAAAAAAACACATCTCACACACACACACAAACAAAGGACTGGTGGAGTGGTTCAAGGTGTAGGCCCTGAGTTCAAACACCAGTATTGCAAAAAAAAAAAAAAAAAAAAGGGCATTCAGTTATCATTGGTGCCAGATACTCTACTCTTTTGGATCCTCTGTGGGTATGGCAGAGGGACCTGGTGGCTTAACTTACATCAAAGAATTTCTTGGTGGAAGCCACCGTGACTCTGTGCAGTGTCTCTTGGTCTTTTTTGTCAACCATTTTGTCACCATACACTCGTTCGGCTTCGTGCAGCCAAAGGCGGACAAGATCCAGTGGGACTTTCAGAATCTCTGCTGTGGAGAATAAGAGGCCCTGCCCCAGCACGAGAGGGTCAGCATCTTGGCTGTGGTGGAGAGGAAGGCAGGTGTTGAGTGTGGATGACATCCCCCGGGGAGTGACCTCTAGGCTGTTGGTACAATTGGTGCTTGGGGCCCAGGAAGCCACTCATCACACACAGCTTAGAGGCTAGAAGGTGTGGGTGTGTCCTGAGAGACACAGGGTTTCCTCACAGGACGGGGTTAAGGGCTTCATCCTGTAATGGGTGCACAGCAGAAAGGGACAAGAGAGGCTAATGGGGGCAGAAAAGTAAAGGTCACCACAAACTTGGGCTCTGCCGCAAATGCTCTTGGGTCCAGCCCTGGTTCAAACAGATACTCGCTGAGTAAGCCCTGCAGGCTCAGCGGGGGAAGGCTGAGGGGCTCTCGGCTCCTGCGATGGCAAATCAGCCCCCGCTTTTGTGGGGTTCACATTCCAGTGGAGAGATGTAACCAGGAAAACAAAACGTCAGGTAAATTACACATTAGGACGTGTGCTGTGAATGCTGCGTGGGGGCTTGCAGAGGGGCATTGTGAGGGCATGGCACGTGAGCTGACGCTTCACCACTGTCACCATCCTCGTCATCACGATCACCACCACTGCCAGCAGGACATCGCCACTATCATTACACAATTGTAATTGCCACCACCACTTAGCACCATCGCTATGACTACCGTCACCACCACCCTCATATCATCATATCACTACCACTACCACCACTGCTGTTACCACCACCACCGTCTCGTCACTACAATCACCGTCATTTTCCCCAGCACCATCATCACATCGTTGTCATAACCACCACCATCGTCACCACCACCACCATTATCGCCACCACCACCACCATTGTCATCACCATCACGCCACCACCATCAGACCAGACTCACTTTGCTCTCTCCTGAGGGCGGCAGAGGAGAGCACCGTGGCTCAGGGACTTGGCCAGAAGGCGTCATGGTATAAATCTAAGAACAGTACCTGGAAAATATTGGCGAGGTCCCTGAGGTTGAAGATGTAATGAAACTTAATGGCTGTGGGAAGAAATGTTGCTGCGACTTTCTGATGCAAGGCTGTTATAGGAAAAAGGCACATCGATTCTTAGGTACTCTTAATGGCCTCAGGAAGTGCACAGCTTAAAGTTTCTGAAACAAATGGACTATGGAATGGTGACAATTTAAGTAAGAAATCAACGTAGCTGAATTTCCTCCTCTCTGCCTCCCCCTGAAGCAATTGTATTTCACATAGCTCCAGTGGAAACACAGCCTCATTTAAAAATATTGATTCCAAAGTATAAATAAAATATTTATCCGGGGTGGGGGGGAATGAAGAACCGTCAGCCCCATAAAGCTGTAGGTTTTACCGACAGGCAAGAGGAGGAGGCTGGCCAGCTTACCTAGGGCCGAGGCCACCAGCTGGTTGCTCACCCTCTGCAACGCCATGGAGACCGAGCGGAAGGACAGGTGCTGCGTCAGGATGGTGCTGTAGATGGTCATGAGGGCCTCCTGGCCCGGGAAGCTGACAGCGAACACGCAGAAGTGGCGCTGCCCAAGGACAACCACGGACCTGTCAGGCAGCTCTTGGGGTCCTGCTGGTTGCCGGGGGCCCCCTCCTTGGGAGACCAGACCCTGTCCTCTTTGACTAATGTCTTTGGGGGAATGGTCGGGATGGGCAGATTTCCCCTTTGTGCCTTGCATGTAAAATCGCATTAGCTATTGATTCAAGGTGAAGCAGCCCCATTCAGTTCATGCTGTCAAGAAAAATGTTCTCAGAAGCAGAAGGCTGGCCTGTTGGCTCAGGCTGCAGGTCTGGCTTTATACCCAGGCCTTCATATGCTTGGTGATTTAGAGTGGTGGCGGGGTCTGTGTGGGCAGGGTACCCAGTTCAACCTAGACTTCAGATACGCTGCAGATACCTTAAAGAATGGGCATATCCAATGTTGTATGGAATATACTTACACTAAAAAGTGTTTGCGGCGCATCTGAAATTGAGGCCGAACTGGGCACCTGCAGTTTATTTTATTTGCTAACTCTGGCAGCCCTCTGGGGTCCTAAGGAGGGCTGGCTACCCTCGCCCTTTTTGTCCCTCCCTCCCCATGTCCTGACACTCTGAAAGTTAAGCGTTCTCCATAGGCTGCCTGCCCCCTGCTCTAACATCTCAGTTGCCAAAGCCAGCCTCGGCCCCGGCAGTTGACCTCGGCTCACCTGCAGTCTGGGGTCAACGGTGAAGGAGCCAGAGGTAGGGTTCATACAAGCCACATACTGACAGTTGTGGACATCCTTTAGTGTCAGTTTCTGCCTGTCATACCTGTTGGGTGAGGGTGGGGAGGATCGAGGATCGGTGTGTACAGTGTGTCACTGACCTGGAGCAGCCATCCCCGTCCCCCTTCCAGGAATGCTTTGCACATGGTTAAAGACAAACCCCAGCGCGTGTCCTTCGCATCTGAGCACCGGTTTGCCTTTACGCTCTCGAGAGAAACAGCTTTTTGAAAGCAAACTGCTTTTTTTCTATTAGCATACATTTTGTGGGGCTCCGCTGTGACACAGCTGCACTTTCCCCTGAGAGCTCTTCAGTCTGTAAGTACCCCTCTCCATCTCCTCCGAAAGATATACCTACTTGAGGAGGGGCCCCCACCTTTGTGGGGGCTGTTGGTTGCAGCCACTGGCATTATTTGTATAGTGGACAGCGGGAAGAGAGACGTCAACAGAACCTGTCTACTGTCTCGAACCTGCCCTACGGTCCTGGTGTCCCACTGGTGGTCTCGCCGACAGCCCCTGGGCCCCACCCCCATGGATTGCGAACCAGTCACAGTCCCAGTCCGCAGTCCACCTTACCAGTGCCCGTGGTCCATGTGCTGTCTAATGAGGGTGTGCGGGGCCACTGTCCCGTACTTGTCCACCTCTGGCATGTTCATGTCATCAATAAAGTAGATCAACTTCTTGGTGCCAGGTGGCCCATAGTTTCTTCCTGACTTCTTCTCCAGTGGCTTCTCCAGCACCCCTGTGGAGAGCAGAGGGTCAGCCACCACCCCAGTGTCCTGCACCGGGGTTCTGTTGGATGGGGAGGGCCCTACTGGCTCCCTGGTGGAAAGGAGCCTGGCGCCACCAGTGTTCAGGTTCGGGAATGCACCTGCCCAGGGAGTGGCCCTCAAGGTGACACTGTGGGGAGCAGGGATCCATCATGGGTGGCCTCCACTCCAGCCAGCTCCTGGAGTAGACTGAAACGGTCAGAGGCCAGGGCAGCAGTGTCAACCTTTGTGTCACTTGGGACTGGTATGAACGCTTCCAGCAGGACCAGGTGCCCCAACCGGCCGCCAACACCCACCACACGCTGGTGCCTCCCACCAGGGGAAAGGCCTGCAGTGAGGGCTGAGAGGGAAAGGGGCAGCCGCGTGGATGTAGTGTGCGGATGTCGCTGCCCGCCCGCCTCACCCTGCAGCATGGCCGAAGTGGTGTAGAAGTTGAAGGGCACGGCCTGCACCAGGTAGTCGTCCGTGCTCAGGCTCTCCAGCTTGTCCCCCATCAACACGGACTTGCCGGTGCCCGCGTTCCCCACCAGCATCACCGGCCACGACTTTGCCATGAGCAGGTCAATGAAGTACCGGATACGGATGGTTTCTGTGGTGTGGACCAGAGAGGCCTGGGGACAGGGGGACAACAAATCCTGGTCCACCTTCCTTGAGGGCACAGATCTTTGCAGCTTTCTAAATCTTGTGCATTTGTCAATGGCCCCAGTGTTGAAAGCCCTCTGCACTTGGCCATGTGCGGGGAAGGACGTGGAGCCCTGTCCCTGGTCACTGGTTCAGGGAGGATTACCTGCAGTGGGATGTCTGGATCCAGCTCGAAGCGGGGCACTTTGTCCGTCCACGGCAGGAACTTCTTCGTTTCAGGGTCGATGTAGTAGTCAAAAATGGTTCCCTGCGAGGGGAACTTGATGGTTTTAAACTCATTGACCCACCATTTGCTGAACTCCACGCGATAATCAATGAGCTGTTAAAAAACAAATGCACGAAAAGCCCCACTAAGAGGACTGTCGAGACGCACCTCGTTTGGGTGGTGGGTCCCCGCCGCGCTGTCCATCCTTCACCTGGTCTTGGAACATGGCGCCTCCAAAAGCCCAGAAGCAGGCGAACACGAAGTAGAGCTCGTAAAGCTCCTTGGGGGAGTCGGGCGGCGTGTTCTTCTCCGTGAGGAGGCACTCCAGCAGGTACAGGGTCATCTGGACGACCGTGATCTCGGGCACTGGCGTGATCCTCTTGAAGCCCATGCGCAGCTTGTCCAGGCACATGGGCAGGTACTTGTCGAAGAGGATGGTCAGGTTGGCCTTTTCAGACTGCACCTTGCGCCTCTCGATCCAGCTGCTCACCACCCTGGGGAAGATGGGGCCGTGGCTGCTTCAGGTCCACTAAGTGACACTCCCCAGAGGAAGGACCTCTCGCCTCTGCCACGTGACTCCAGAGGGGTGGCCGTGGAGGCCGGGCTGAGACTTGGGTTGGTCACTCCTGCTTGGTGGTGGGTCCAAACTAGGGCACCATTCCAGCCAGCTTCAGACCCTAAGAGAGCCTGGTGAGGCTGCTGGGCTGTGGTGTCTGTGTTCTTTCTCTGAACTGGTAGCTGTGGGACCACTGTGAGCCCCAAACAACTGAAGCCACGGTACCACGTGGAGGACATCTGCCTCCAGATGAAGCTGACACTAAAGGACTGGGAGGAGAAGAGAGGAGAACGGTCTCATGACATCATCTGGGGGGTTGCAAGGAAGTGAGGATGGGGATGAAGAGAAAGGAGGAAGAAGAGGGAAGCAGGGGTATCCTGTGACGTCATTTGGACTTCTGGATCCAGCCATGCCTGCGGCACCTACTTAGTGACTTGCTCCTATATATATTTATATATGTGATCTATAAAAATAAGCACACACATGCCTCAGTTAGTTGGGTAAGATCTGTCACGTTTGGTGGAAGTATCTACTTCAACACGATGGCCATCCTCGAGGGCCCACACTGGATTGTCTGACAGGCAGACACATCTACCACAGTGGGGAGGGATGTGGACACTGCAGCTGACTGTCCACCAGACCCAGGGCCAGCAGCAGCCTGACACAAGTCACTCAACAGGTCTGGGGTTCTAATCTCTAATCGGGTCATTTTAGCTCCACCCCCTCCTCCGTCCCAAAGGACCACATGGGCCACTTTTTAAAGTTCACAGAAGGGAGCCTGGTCCAGTAAGTGCCAAAAGAAATGTCTGCTAAAAGCATAAATAGCACCGGGCTCCCTGGAGGGCCGGTGAGCTAAGTGTGTGCGTCACCTCCAGGATGCCAGGGACGTAAGCAGGAAGGTCATGTTACCAAACACAGGGCGGCCGCCATCCGCAGATGGCCCTGTGCTGGGGCAGAGAATTTGCAGTGCCTGGGTACCAGTGACAGAGAGCAAAGCTTCACACCATCCACGTCTCTAAGCAAAGCATGGGCCCCATGTGGGCGCAGTGCAGACCTGAATGCCAGGTGCAGGTCACAGAGGTGCTGCCTTGACTCTGGGCTCAGGGTGCTTTTGTGTCACTTTTTTTTTTTTTTTTCCTGTGGTACTGGGGTTTAAATTCAGGGCCTTGAGTTTGGTAGGCACTTGAGCCATGCCTCCAGCCCTTTTATGCTTCAGTTATTTTCAGATACGGTCTCACTCTTTGTCTATGGGGGCCTGGACCACGAACTTCCTATTTTTGCCTCTCCTAGCTGGAACCATAGGTATGCACCACCAAGCCCCGTTTGTTGGTTGAGATGAGATCTTGCTAGCTTTTTGCCCTTGGTCTTGAACTGTGCTCCTCTCTCTATCTCTGCCTCTCCAGTAGCTGGGATTATAGGTGTGTGCTACCTCACCCAGGCCTTGTTGCATTTTGATGCTGCTTGGGTAGGCATCTTGTAACACACACCTATGCACATTCTGGCTTCCACACGAGCATGGGCCCAGGCAGACGCGTGTGGGAAGTACAAGCCCACATTCTCAGCCCATCCAAGTGCTTCCTGCCTTATCCCCAGAGGTGGCTGGGGCCTGTGAGCCTGTGGCCCTTGTCCCTGGGGGCCGGCCAGCTCCTGACTGGGGTCCCAGCCTCCTAGGCAACCATTTGAGGGAGGGCTGCTCTGTGTGCATCTACATCTCAAGAAGCCATTTCTGGACTGGTGGAGTAGCTTAAGTAGTAGAGTGTCTGCCTAGCACGCGTGAGGCCCTGAGTCCAAACCCCAGTTCTGCCAAAAAAAATACATACATGTATATGCATATGTTTCTAATCCATAAAAAAGAAAAAGGAGCCATTTCTCTCCTTCTACTTCCTTCTGGTCACTCTGGGAGCCTTTCTGCCTCTGCCTACACTGACTTCACTTCTGGCTCTCCTTCCTCCTCCCACAGCTGTGACCCTGTGCACCCCACCATCTCATGACCCCACAATCTCCCCACCTCCAGCATCTCAGCAGTTCTGACCCAGGCCTCATTTCAGTCTCCTCACCCTGTTTTCTGCCCACCCTCAATGTTCTGTAGGGAGCAGATGGTGGATGTGCCAAAGATGCCTCTAACCTGGAACCTTGGAATGTGATCTTACATGAAGAAAGGGCCTCTAGCTAGGATGTAACTAAGTTAAGCATCTCAAGATGAGGTCATTCTGGATTAGGATGGGCCCTGGACCAATGCTGGGTGTCCTCCTAAGAAGAGGAGTAGGGAAAGGGCCCCAGGGAGACAGAGCTGCAGTGATGTGAGTACAGCCTGCAACCGCCAGAAGCTGGCAAAGCTGGGCAGACTCTCCCCAGCCTCAGAAGGAGCCCACCCTACAGCTCCTGACCTCAGACTTCTGTCTCAGCTCTGTGAGAGGATAAACTGCCCCATGTGTCCCTTTGTTATGGCAGCCCCAAGACACTCAGTTGGGTGGGCAGTGCTGCTGGAGACGATGGCCCTGCAGTGCCTCTCAGTGGCCCCCATCCCTTTGGGGTCAGGCCAGCTCCCAGGTCTGTTCCTGCTGGGACCATTTCCTTAGGAATTCTCTGGACCCCTGGCATTGCCATGCTACCTCCCTCCCAGAAGGTGCTCTCACCTCCTACTGCAGAGAGCAAGGAGGCGCCTCTAGCATGAACTTCAACTTCTCCCCTCTGCTTGCATGTGCCTGGGACCCCATGCCTGCTCCCCATGCCCAAGCCTGGCTCTCACCTCAACACAGTAAACCTTCCTGCCTCTTGCTGCAGCTCTCCCCACAGCTCTGACACAGGACTCTCCCTTGCACCTCACTCCCAACGGCTTCCTTGGCTACTATTTTCTCGATCCTGCTTCCAGCAGGCTGTGAATCTGTTCTCCAGTGTCACCTAGGGGTGTCTAGTGGCCAAATCCATGACCGATGTCCTTCCATGGCTCTCTGTTTCACTGGATGGTATACAATTGACTTTCTCCTCCCTGAAGTTTCTCCTCCTTGGGGTCTGGGATGCCATCCCTGGGCTTTTCTTCTGCCTTTGGGACCATCTCTTCTTGGAATCTCTTGTGGCTTGCTCTTCTTCCCCAATGCAGTGTGGGTTTTTCTCAGAAAATGAGCTACTGTTCTCATACTCCACATCTTTCCTAAAGCATGATCATCCCAGGCTCCAACACACATGCAGGGAACAGAAAGTACTGGCTGGATAAATGGATGGATGGATGGATGGATGGATGGGTGATAAATGTGGATGATGGCTGGTTGGCTGGATGATGGATGGATGAATAGATGGATGATGAATGGATGGATGGATGGATGGATGATGGATAGACGGATTATGGCTAGCTGGACCATGGATGGATGGATAGATGGATGATGAATAGATGGATGGGTAATTGGATGATGGATGGATGGGTGGATGATTGATGGATGATGGGTGGATGATGGATGGATGGGTGGATGATGAATGGATGGATGGATGGGTGGATGATGGATGGGTGGATGATGGATGGATGGATAGATGATGGATGGATGGGTGGATGATGGATGATGGATGATGGATGGATGGGTGGATGATGGATGGATGGGTGGATGATGAATGGATGGATGGATGGGTGGATGATGGATGGGTGCATGATGGATGAGTGGATGATGGATGGATGATGGATGGATGGATGGGTGGATGATGGGTGGATGATGGATAGGTGGATGATGGATGGATGGATGGATGGATGAATGGATGGATGATGGATGGATGGATGGATGGGTGGATGATGGATGGGTGGATGATGGATGGATGGGTGGGTTGATGATGGATGGATGGATGGATGGATGGATGATGGATGGATGGATGGGTGGATGATGGATGGATGGATGGATGAATGAATGGATGGATGATGGATGGATGGATGGGTGGATGATGGATGGATGATGGATGGGTGGACGATGGATGAATGGATGGATGATGGATGGATGGGTGGATGATGGATGGATGGGTGGATGAGTATGGATGGATGGGTAGATGGACGATGGGTAGATGGATGATGGGTGGATGATGGGTGGATGGATGGATGATGGATGGATGGGTGGATGATGGATGGATGATGGATGGGTGGATGATGGATGGATGGGTGGATGATGGATGGATGATGGATGGATGGGTGGATGATGGATGAATGGATGGATGATGGATGGATGGGTGGATGATGGATGGGTGGATGGATGATGGATGGATGGATGATGGATGGATGGGTGGATGAGTATGGATAGATGGGTAGATGGATGATGGGTAGATGGATGATGGGTGGATGGATGGATGGATGGATGATGGATGGGTGGGTGATGGATGGATGGATGGATGATGAATGGATGGGTGGATGATTATGGATCGGTGGATGAATGGATGGGTGCTTGATGACTAGATAGATGGATGATGGATGATGGGTGGATAGACAAGTGAACTGCCAGGGCTGGTTGAGGCGTTTCCCTTGATCCTCAGCTTCTGGAATGCACCACAAGATTTCTACCTAAGCTGTTTGCTCCAAGCAAACAATGTCCCCTGAAATTCCACTAACAATCACTGGCCATGTATTCAAGCAGGAAAATGTGTCCCTAGAATCTACATCAAGTCTTTTACTTTTCAAGATTTCAAGCAGTTCTTAAGTCCATGTCTTCCTCTCTCATTCCCCATGGCTACTCAGTGACTCCCCTTCTTCACCTTACAAAGGGCCAGCTGGCTCTGAAGTCACTCCAGCTTTAGTGCCATTCTGCCCAAAACACCCTCAGCCTTCAAGTTCCATCCCAGGAAGCTCCCATTCACCCTCTCGGTGCCTATGAGTGCTGTTTCTTATTCACCTCAAGTGCTCCTCTTCTCCCCTCGGGACAGCCCTCACTGTGGTCCTCTGGGAAGATCTGGTCTCCATCGAGGCCTAGCCCTCCCCTTTCCCAGTGCCTGAGTCCCCAGCTCTCCGTACAGATGTCTGCCATGTCACCATGCATTTACTTGTCCACTGCTACAATAGTGCAGTGAAATGGCACCCAGTGTTTATCACACAGGTAGATGGATACATGCACACACATCTCTGGAAAAGGCCACCAACCTTCCCTTTCTCTGCCACAGTTTAGGATAGGAAAGCCCACACCCTACTCACGGGTTCCACCCTAGATCGGCCGGGTTGATGTAGAGGATGCCGGCTCTGGAGACCGTGGCTGGGGTGGCTGTCCTCAGGTGGCTGATCTCAAACACAAGCCTCATAGTGCGGTTCAGGGGAATTCGCTCATTGCTGGCCAGGGTGAGGACCTGGGGAGGGAGATGCCAAGCTCGGGGGGTCAGCGGCAGGTGCCTATCACTCTGACGGTGTTCCAGAATGAGGAGTGGCTGCTGGGGGCAGCATGCCAGGCCACCCTCAACCCTGCACCTCTGGACCTTCCTTGCCTCCAGTCCCCTCTACCACGACCCAGCCCTGGAACCTCATGGATGGTTCTAGACGTGAAAGCAATCTTGCCCTGTACCACAGGATTAAATGTCCTTTTCAAAACGACTGCTTTCCACTCCCTTTTTTTCTACTAGATTGAGAATTCTTTGTTTTTTGAGATAGGGGCTCATTATATAGCCTAGGGTGGCCTTGAACTTTCCATCCATCTGCCTCAGCTTCCCAGATGGTACTGGGAAGTATCATTTTCCTAAGCTGCTTCTAGACAATCCTGGATGCCATGTCTGCCTCTCCAAACAGAAGCCATCTTCCCTGCATTGTACCACAGTGAGTTGGAGAGGCTCCCCCCAGCGTTACCCCAACCCATGCTGCCGCTGCAACGTGGGGAGGAGGAGGAGGAGGAGGGACAGGTGTGTCATGAAAAGTGCTCTCTGTCACAGCTCTTTGTGTGGAGATCCAGATGGCCCACCTCCTGGGTCCCACGGTAGCACACTGTCTGCCAGCCCTTACTGCCCCCTTCTCGTGGCGGCATTGGGGTCTTGAGAACCCAGGAGCTGCGTACCTTGTTGTCATCCATGACAGTGTTGAGGGACTCTATCCACATAGGATCAATGTCTCCATCCAGTATGATCCACTTGGGGCCATCGTGAGTGATGTTGGCTAGATCCCGCATGATGGTTGAGAACAGGCCTGTGGGGAGGCAGGCCAGTGTCACACAGGGCCACGTCTAAGGAGCTAAGTGTGCACCAGGTATTTACTCCTGCCCCAGCTGCTCTCTCTCAGAGGTGGGCTGTCACTTACTTCAGAGGGACAACAGAGGCCCTCGAACAGGACACTGGTTCATTTCCCTCCCTTCTACTCTCCCCAAGGACTAGTGTCCTCTTTCATGCTCCCCAATCCCAGGCCCTGCCCTTGTCCTTCTCTGACCCCTCTCCCATGGGCTCCAGGTTCAACGACCCCGTGTGGACTGTCACCTCCGCACTTGGCACTCTACCCATGAGTTCACTCATTCACTCAAGGATGCTTAGTGGAGCATTCTCCATGGAAGTCGGGGGAGGGCTTAGGGTACAAGGCCCAGGACCTTGAAAGCTCCTGCCACCCCCTAAAGATTGCATTCCTGTGAGGGAGAAACAAGGTGCTGGCACTTCTGTGCTCCCTGAGGGTGAGAAACCCATGGAAAGGAAGCAGGTGAGCCTGCTGGCTCCCAGCAAGGAAGTGCTGATATGGCCACACCTGAGCCTCCCCTTCCTCCAGCCCATCCTCCATTGTTCCCTGAGTTCTTCACAAACAGGAACCCAGCAGAGTCACTTCCCAGGAGACACTCCTCTCCCAGAGCCCAGACTGATCCTCAGTCTCTTCCTGCAGCTTCCTCCCCTGTCCTCCCAGCCTGGTGACCTGATGCTATGAGCCCCTCATCCTCTGAGTGCCCCCTTCATTAGCACCCTTCCTGTGGGGCCCTGGTTGGGCACTGTGTCCCCTGCACTAGACTGTGAGCCTACTGAGAGCCCTCTCCAGGGAGCCTGTCCAGCTGTATGGCAAGAGTCTCAGAAAATGTCACTTTACTGAGCATGAAACCAGCCCAAGGGGACTCTGTTGCCCCTGTAGCTGCGTCCATTACCATCTTTCCATTCCCTGGTCGCTGGGTTGATGACACCAAAGAGCTCGTCACAGGTGACAGCCTTGGGGTCCAGGTCCACGGCCACCGGCTTCCTCTTCAGGTTCTGGTAGGTCTTACTGAGGGATCTGAGTACCTGGTAAGGGCAGAGGTCACTCATGTGACTTGACGTCTCCAGCACCTGCTACATCTGCACTCAGGATCACACACATGGCCTGTGTGTGGCGCCCTTTGCATGACCTTAGGTGCCTGTGCTCCACAGGCACAGTTTGCCTTGGTGGCGAGGGTGAGTTTGAGTCCCTCAGACAACAGCAGAGGTGCAGGGGTCAAGTGACTAGAAACAGATCCCACAGAGCTCCTGAAGCCATGCCGAGTCCCCCCCCCAAAAAAAAATCCATGCATGTTGAAACAAAAAGCAAGGGAAGAAAACTACCGATAGTCACTTTACCCAGTGAAAATGTGTATTGGAGCATACTGAGTGCGCATGTGTGCGTGCATGTGTGTGTATGGATAGAATTTCTTTTCTTTTTTTATTTATTATTCGTTTTGGTGGAGGGCGGCACTGGGGTTTGAACGCCAGGCCTCCTGCTTGCTGGGCAGGCGCTCCACCATTTCAGCCATGCCGCCAGCCCATAGTTCTGCCTTTGCCTTTTCAAGAACACCTTGCTTTGCTGCAAGTTTCCCCTCTGCTATTAGTCTTTGGAAATGACTTTAAGTAACAGCGTAACAGTCCATCTCGTGGGCATTTAGCCAAACTCTTGGTTGGCTTAGAATTACAGCCAGTGTTACAGGCATTAGTAATCTCAGCTGTGACCCTCCACTTTCACCATGCCCCAGGCAATGGAAGGGGACAGGAGGGCGTAGGTGGGCAAGACGGCAGGTGTCTGGTGTCATAGGAAGAGGCAGGAAGAGAGCAGAAAGGGTCCCTGGGGGGTGGAGGGAGGTGATAGAGGGTGACTCCCATCCTCCCCAACCTGGCTGGATCCCTCAGGCAACTGGACGGACCTGGGATTTGCCACTTCCCGCGTTGCCAATGACAAACACCGAGTGCCGGACCTGCAGCAGCTCCTCCAGCTGCACGACCTTGAGCACAAAGCTGTCCTCTGCCTGCAGCTTGAGCTCCACGATGCTCTGCTTGATGATCTGAGGGGCCGTAGGCAAGGGTGGGGTGCAAAGTCAGGACTGTTGCTGAGGTGGGGGTGCTTCCTGTGCCGTGGAGAGGCAACACAGAGAGGAAGAGCTGTTCCCCTGACGCAGATGTGTAACCAAACTTGGCCATGGATGCTGCCCAGTGCTACCACGGCTCAGAGCCTCATCCTGGCTCCTCCTGTGACCCCAGCACTGACAACGGCCAATGGTCACCCCCGAGATCTCATAGCAAAGGGAGGCATGCTTTTGTGACCCTCTTGGGCAGGCGGAAGGCTTCTCAGGATGGAAAGAGACTCAGGGGCACCAAACTACCTTCTCAAAATTCAGGTCTCGCTTCCGAGGCACGTCCAGGGCCGGGAAGAGGTCTCCGATCAGCCCCATGAACACGGGCAAGTCGTCGGTCACAATCTTGGGGATGTTGAAGTCCCTCAGCGCCCTCATGAGCACTTGGTCCTCTGCCCGAGTGGGGTCACCCCTCTTCAGGGAGCCGGCCACCACCAGCACAGACTTGATGGCCCGCAAGCCCCAGTCGTAATGGTCCTGGGGGGGGGTAGATAGGAATGTGCCTTCCCACACTGGCCGGCTGGTACTGCCAGGCCCAGGGTGGCTCCGGGGTCAGGGAGGGTGGGATGGAGGCTGATGCAGCACAGGCACGTGTGAAACCCTTCCCAGACCAAGCTGCCTCTCCCCAGTGTCTCCGTGAGCTTCAGGACCCCTCAAGCACACACCTGCCTGGAGAGCAGCTCTTTGCACAAGGTGTACAGCGTGATAAATTTCCGGGCCAGCAGGCGGGCCTCCAAGAAGCCTTCAGCCACCAGCATGATCTCACAAATCAGCTCGAAGTCAGGGACCACCATCGCACAGGGCCTGGGTTGGACATGTGTGAGCTTTTTCCCCTTCCCCCTCCCTGACTCCTTGTCCCCTCCCCTCCACCTGTCTGATTTCACCTAGGGGAGTGTGCGTTGCCTGCCAGATGGACCACAGCACATTGGCCAGCCTTCTGGGGTCATGCAGCTGGGTCCCCACATTCTTCCCATGCCCCCTGCTCAGGGGGCCTCTGGGTTGTGCCCTTGCTCTGCTGGACTGTCCTGAGAGTTCTTGTACAGACGAGCAGGCTGTGTTTCAGCCAGCCTCGGGGAAGACAGAACTTTTGAAGACAGACCTCACCTGCCTGCTCCCCTTTTCCCCCATCTCGGGAGCTGGTCTTTGATGGCTTCTCCTCCCTCCCCAGCTCAGTCCCTGCTCCTCTTCTGCTGGCTTGTTGAACCTGGGAACAGCTGTGGCTGGCCTGAGTAGCCAAGGGCACTCACCTGAACAGGGCCTTCAGGTTCTCAGGCAGCTCTGTGCGCCCGGCATAGCCAGGGTTCATGGTGATGAAGATGCCGACAGTGGGGATGAGGCTTATTATCTCTCCCAGGAAGTTAAACTTCTTTTTCTTGGTTCGAATTGCATCTTGGACACATTTTACCTAAACAGTTGGGAAACACGCCAACAAGGGAACACCAGGTGGCTGTGAGTTGGCATGACCTCTCCCATTGTCACTAACCGCCACCCCCATCCCCCACCTGCCTAATCTGCTCTCCAATTCTGGGATTTTGTCACTCATGGGTGCCAGCTTGGAATATATAATCTGAGATGAGTCCTATGGCTCTGCTTCCAAGCTGTCACCCCCAAAAGGAGTTATTAGATTTGCAGAAACTGGCTGCAAATCTCCAAGTCATCACTCGAGGGCGCCCAAGGCTCAAGGCTGAAACCTGTCTCAGCCCTCTGACCAGAGGTCCCCACCCCAGAGCTGTCTTGCCTGGGTCACACCAGTCTTCCCTTCTCTGGACACTCTGACCAGTCTGTAGGGTGTGCGGCCCACACCCAGGTAGGACTGAGGCGGGGACACCTTGCCCTGTGCCAAGGCTTCTCTTATTCTTGCTCCTCTGTTTGTGTCCACAAACATTCAGTGCCTCTAACAGGCTTCCCATAAACAACTTTGGGGTGGGGCAAGAACTCTGCTCATGGGCTGGGGACCAGGGAAAGAGTCAGGACACTGGGATGCCTTTGTCCTACTCCTTATTGGCCTCCAGGCCCATGGAGAAGGGGGACAGAGAAGGGGCCAGCTGCCTGTGCTCGCGCCAGCCCCTCCAGCCGGCAGTTAGGGGATGGGAGGCCGGGAAAGCTCCAAGCAAACTCCCCAGGCTGTGAGTCCTGAGCAGCCCTCACCCCCACCCCCACCCCCACCCCCACCCCCTCTGCCTGTCCTCTAGAGGAGGTGGGCAGGGGTCTTCACTTTCTTTTCTTTCTGGAATTGTAACAAGACTCAGAGGCTGCTCTTGCTAAAAATACTGACTTCACCTGGACCTAAATGCTCAATAGTTGCTAAATGCAGGTTAAAGCATGGCCTCTTTGCCCTCATTCTGCCTTTTCTCTGGGTATTTCTCTCCTGGACTCACCTTGAACAATGGATCTGATGGACCACCCCTGAGATAATGACCCACCAGGCCCAGTTCCCCAAGGCTAAGATTGCTATTTATGTGTCATTCCTGCCCTTCCTCTATGCAATCTTGGGGCTCCTGTTAGCACCCCATGTCCTGCCCCACAAGGACAGGCCTGAGGACACTGGTCTTTGAACTTCCGGTACATCTATGCCTGTTCAACTTCCTTTCCACTGTTACCTTTTCTGTTTGAATTTTGGGGTGAGTAGCTAGACCCAGTTTGCTAAGAACCCCAGCATCTATCCTCTGGCCTAGGACGCCAGTAACAGAATCTCAAAGTTGACCCAAGGACTAGAGGCTGGCCTCAGTTTCCCTCAGAGAGCCCAGTGTTTCTCAAGCCAAGTTTCTCAGGCATCAGGATCCTCTGAGGATTTGTTTAAAATGAAGAAATAAAAGCCAATCCAAACGTGGGGCATGGGGCCTGCGCGGGTGATTTTAGCAGCAGTTGGGGGATGCTGGCTCAGGAGGCCTGCTGCCACCTTGCCTCAGACTCCTCACGGCCATCCTGTGCTCTGCTGGGGTGCTCCCAAAATACATGGCCTCATTTATCTCCTTTCTCCCTTCTCTGCTATTCTCTTTCAGCACACTTGTCCAGGTGAGAAACTCTTAGCATCCTTCAACGCCCAACTCCACAGATCCCTGAGCCAAAGCCCTTCCCCCCATCCCCCCTCCCTTAAGTTAAATTGTTTGCCCTAAAGCTGCCTCTGTACGTATTTTTAAATTTTGGATATGGTGAACTGTAACCTAGCTTTATAAATATTTTTTGGCAGTACTGGGGCTTGATATAACCTAACGCGATGTGGAAACGCACACTGACCTAACTCTTGTACCACGTGGCCTAATCTCAGCCAACCGCAAGCAGCCCCTGTTCAATCTGCCTTCGAATAGAATCAGCCACTTCTTTGTCTGCACGGTCACTTCCCTTTCTTCCTCTGGCAATAAACAGAGCCTCCCCGTGTGTGAAGGAAGCATTCTAACCACTTTCGGATGACAGAACTGAAAATGAAGCCAACTAACATCTACAAGCCTAGGCTTGGTGTAGTTTCCTTTTTTAATACACCTAAGCAAATTTCCCTCATCTGCCTTTGGTCACCCAGGTGCCAGCCTCTTACTGTTTCTACCTCCATATGCCTCAGGAGACTGGGGACAGGACAGGGCAAGCGTCTCCTGCATCTTTGTGTCCCACCAGCCCTCAGAGCCTGGAGCCTGGGGATGGGCTGGAGGGTCTCTGTGGTGTATGAGGTAATGGGCTTCTGGTGGGCACAGCAGTCAGTAACCACCTAACCAGAGACTTCGCGGGGCGTCCTACCTGCACAGCAATCACAGACAGGACCTCCACTGAGATCCGGTTAAACTCATCAAAGCAGCCCCAGGCTCCAGTCTGGGCCAGACCCTTGTAGATGTTTCCACAGGACTAGGAAAGACAAGATGGGGAAGAGTGTGTCAGGGGACGGGGAGGTGGTGGGGACAGGGAGCCCCAGCAGGCCAGGCTTGGGTCACGTGTTCTCAGAAGGCCAGCAGGCAGGACAGCTTGCCTTTCCACAGAGGCTTCTGCAACAGGGGGCTGAGCACCAGGAAAAGAGCATCCTCCACCCTGGACTCTGACAGTTCCCAGCCCTGGGGGCGGGGGACGGGGGAGATGCCATGCCTGTCCTCTAACCAGAAGGCTCACACAGGCCGTTTGGTTTGTGTAAATTCCAGCCTTGTGTTTTTTCTTCACCAGTTCTTTTATGCACACAAAGGCAGGGGACCCCTCCAAGGCAGGGGTGAAACTGCGGGCCCACTGGAAGACCTCTCCTGGCCCCTGGATTGTCAGGGTGGTTCTTGGACTCTCACCCTGGGGACCAGGTACATATTAAATCCTTTCTAGAGGTGTGGACTTCCTACTACTTTCTAAGGCCCAGGAAGCTGGTGTGGATGATTTGACCTTGACAGCCAGCAGGGGCCGTGGGCCCCACCTCAATTTCAGGATGGGGATGCCTGGGCTGTGGGGCTGAAATATAGGTGAGAGTGGAACCCCCCCTCCAGGCCCAGGGTCCCGAACCTAGTGACCATCCCTCCCCTCCAGCTCCTGCAAGAAGCGGCCGTGGACCGAACCACCAAGGTCTCCCCTCTGTGCTTGGCCCTCTGAGCACTGCTGTGGTCCTGCAGCACCCTGATGACGGATCCCTCCCCCTTACCCAAAGTCTGCCTGGATGTTGCTTTTATCCAGCACCCCACAGAGAACAGGAAGGGGGCCCACTTCTATGTGTGGGCTCCAATGATGATCTTGGAACCAAGGTAGAGAGAGGTCCCCCTGCAGGGGCAGGACCAGGACATCTGGGGCTAGGTTTATAAACCCTAGGGCCTCTCCATGCAGGCCGGGGAACACGGCAGCAGGAAGGGTCCTCAGTGTCCCCTGCTGCACCCCCTCCACCCCAGGATTCTGTCTGCAGGTGTCCAGAGACTCAGAGGCAGAGCCTCAGGGACCGGAGCTCTGACTTGGCTCTAGTTCAGTGGGTGGCCTCGCTGTGTACCTTGTAGTCCATCTGCTCAGAGCAGTTGAAGACATACACCATGGTGCCCAGAGCTCTGCCCAGGTCCTTAGTTGTCTCTGTCTTGCCTGTGCCGGCAGGGCCTGCCGGGGCTCCACCCATGATCAGATGGAGGGACTGGGTCAGCGTGATGTAGCACCTGCCAAGGACCTGTGGTCACCTTGTGTACTGAGACCCCCATCGCCTCCACTGTGCTTTCTTGTGGTTTCAGTTAACTGTGGACTGTTGCCCTGTTCAGCCCCAGGGGGATGGAGGGAGAGGAGAGGAAGGGCTTCGGTTGTCACCAAGGGACAAACACTGTCTATCTGGAGGCAGATATGGCACAGGCATGGCCCAGATATGGCATAGGCATGGATTTGGGGAGGTGGGCACCACTGACAAAACAATCCTCCCCAGCCATTGCCCACATGTACTGTGGGTGACTTGGGACAGTTTCTGGTCTGAGCACTTTATTGTCACATAGTTCACTCGATCTTTAGCAAATTCAGGAGGGTTTGTGAAGCACAATCCCCACTTTGCAGGCCTCCAGAGAGGTTAAGCAACTACCCCCTAGGCCACACAGCCAGTGTCAGACCAAGGTAGGGAGACCAAGGCCAGGTAGTGGCAGGACCAAATCTGAGTACAAATTTTTAACCCAAATGCCAGGTCTTCCAGCCAGAGCATCTGATGTTCAGGTCTAGCGATGGAGAAGAATCTTAGGCAAGGGGGCAAAGACAGTGTGTGGCTGTTGAGAGATAGGCATCAGGGGCTGTGGTTGGTCCCCACCTGTCTGTGAGGGGGGTGATGACAAGCCGGGGCGTGTTGCCCAGATACTCATAGGAGTACTGGATCTGTGCGTCACAGATGTTGGCAAAGCAGTGCTTCTTCTCTTCGTCCCAGCGATGCCGGAGCTGCGACTGCCAGGTAAAGGCCTGGGAACTCTCCACCTGTAGAAGGAGCCCCAGTGTGTCTCACTGGCCCAGCACGGTGCGAGAGCCAGAGCTAGCCTCTGGCCCATCAGGGGACCCTCTCTGTCTGTGTCCTCTTTTCGGTGCCACATCCAACCGCCTCACTGCCCCCTGGCTGACTTTGCCTAAAGAGCGGGCACTCCTGGGGCCTGGCTCATCTGGTCACTGCATGTGGCTTGCCAAGGGTGAATCCAAGTGAGGACTGGCAACAGCAGTAGTCACCACCCAGGAAGAGGAAAGAGCAGGCAGGGGATGGAGTCCTTGAGCCCTTGGCCAGCCCTGCACATGGGTTCCCTGGTGCTTCCCACGTGCCCAGGGACGGGGGTGCTCGTGCCTTGGCCATGATCATTTTGGCCACCACATCTCGAGCGTGCACATCGATAGTGCAGATGGTCATGATTTTCATCCTGTCGCCAGCACTCAGGTTTCCAATGAGCAGAGTGATGAGCGCGTTCAGCTGGCCGATCTGAGGGCAGAAAAGATGGAGGTCTGCGCTGAGACCCCCACAATGTGCCTGCCACCTATAAAGTGGTCACTGGACTGGGCGCCCAGGCCTTGTGGGTCCTTGAGGAGATCAGACCATCAGGCCCTTGTTTACAATAGGGAGAACCAGGAAAACAAGTTCTCCCTATCTTCCCAATGAGGCAGAAGACCATGGAGCCACTAACCAATGAAGGAGTAGAAGAAAATTTTAACACCAGAGGAATAGGTTGTAGACCCAGTAAGAACAGCTGACGGTAAAGCCATACAAGACAGTTGATGTTTTTACCTATAACTCAATTTACACACACAAAACAGTTTACAGAGCATCTAAGAAAATGTTGATAGTGGTCCCAGCTGGGTAGCGGGATAATGGGTAACTTTTCCTTCTTTCATCTAAAAAATTATCTTTGATTTCTAAGTAAGAATCTTTAAAACAACAACAACAAAAAGACTTTTGGGAGCATTTGATGCAACCTTCAGAAATTGCTATGTATTTTTTGGCGGTACTGGCGTTTGAACTCAGAGCTTCACACTTGCTAGGCAGGTGCTCTACCATTTGAGTCACTTCACCAGCCCTTTTGTGTTGGGTATTTTCTGAGATAGGGTCTTGTGAACATTTCCCTGGGCTGGCTTCAAGCAGTGATCCTCCTGAGTGGTTAGGATTACAGGCATGAGCCACCGGCGCCCTGCTCAGAAAATTGCTGTTGCTAAAAGGTGGAACTCTTGGGTTGAGCTTGTCAGCTTTCACCCTACAGAGATGACAGCTTCATAGATTTCATCCTTAGAAAGGAAGAGTTTTCTAGCAAACGCGTGGCAGTTTTACATGGACACACGGGGCCACGCACCTGCTTTTTGTTGTAGTCTTTGATGGAGTTTTCATATCCTTCCTCCAGCCGTGCGAACGCCAGACCCACTTCAGTGGTCCACCAGATTTGGGTGCACGTGAGCGCAATCTGAAAACGGATGCCCCTGTGGTGAGCAGTCACTTGCTTACAGCTCAGAGAAGAGAGCCAATGCCAAGAGGTTCAACTGTTCCCCACTGGACCAAGGTCAACCAGGGCTCAGTGTCACGAGAAACACGCCCAGACAAGCGGCACTTCAGCCAGTCCCCGGGGAGCCCCGTACCTGGGCCGGGTAATCGAAGATCCACTGCTCCCTCAGCTTCTCCTCGTATGTCACCACGGCTTCGGGAATTTCGTGTCGGAGCGTGGCGCACATTCGGTCCAGCACTCGATTCAGCCAGACTTCCACCTGGGGATGGGGAGTCACACTGACCACACAGGGCCATGTGCACATGTGGCTCTAATAATTTGTTGTAAAGAAAAAAGATGTTCTTTTTGTCATCGTCATCATCCTGGGGTGGAAACGCCAAGATTTGGTCAGAGCAGTAGAAATGACCCACCTAAAAATTGTCTCTGGGCAGTGCAGGGCACCCTGGCAAAGCTTGTTGGGTCAGGCATCTGGTGACCACACAATTGTTTCTACACTGCTGCCCACAAATCTTGCTGGCACAACTTATTTGCATTTTAAAACATAAACCCTCGGGCTGGGGGCGTAGCTCATTGGTGGAGCAGAGGCGTTGCAAGCTGGATTGAACCCCCAGCACCTCAAAGAAACGACAGACGAATTAACAAAACCCTCCACTCACAGCAACTGGGAGAGGAAAGAGCCTCAAAGGAGTCCTGGGCAAGCCATAGAAATCGTTCCTTTTCTGTTCTTTTTTGGTGGCACTGGGGTTTGAATCCAGGGCTTCAGGGCCTCATGCTTGCTAAGCAGGTGCTCTGCCATCACAGTCATGCTCTGAGCTCTAAAATTTTGGGGACATCCATAGACAGCAGACCAACCACATGCTGCAAGTTCAACTTTTGGATGCTCCACTTTTCTTGGGTGCGATTTGCTCCTGCAGGTCTGATTTACCTCTGAATTACACTTTCCTTAGGCTAATGTCAGAATCACTTCTGTTGCGTGATCAACAGTTGAGCGGGGGAGGTGGGGGAGGGGCAGCCAGGAAGTTGGTTAGCAAACTTGCTGCCATGTTTGCTAGAGGAGGGGCGAGGGTCCCAAGGCTGCTCTGAGCCCACCAAAGCAATGCAGCTCATCACCCTGGATGGGTGTTAGACACTGGCGGTCCCCTTCAGTGCAGTCTCCTTGGCAAGTCATAAAAAATGCCATCAACATTAGCAAGTCTCTCTCTTCTCTTCCCTCCTCCCCTCTCCTCCCTGTCCCCTCAGGATTTGTCTCACAGATGTGGAAAGACTGCTGGAGACTCGATGAAGAAGTCCCCACGTGTTTCCTAGAGAGGCAGAGGAGAGGGACAGGCTCCCACCTGGGGAGCCCGTGTGTGACCAGTGACCATGCACGGCTCACCTGACCAGAGAGGTCACATTCCTGATCAAAGTGCACATACTCGTCCTCCTTGCTGTACATCCCGATGCCAACCTTGAGTGGCTTCTGGTTGGCATCCAGGCGGAACTTCAGCTTACACAGGCTGTCAAAGAGTTTGGACAGGTGGCGGCTCACCTGCGGGGAGGAGGACACCGGAGTTACGTAAGGGACAGATCCAAAGGGCACACCTGCGGTTCTGGTTTCCTCTGGAAGCTTTAAGCTCCCTCCCTCCCTCTTTTCTTTCCTTTCTGATACATACACCCTGTCTCTGGTTGATGTTAACCGCACATGGCTTAGCCAACCAAAGGAACCAGTGACAACTGCTCTTGGGACAGAAAGCAGACCTTTAATGGTGGGCAGCCCTAGGAAGTCCCTTCCTCTGTGTGTCCATCCCATATGTTATGGTTGAAATAACATAGATTCCTTTCCCTCCACCCAGTTTATTCTTCTCTCTTCCAGAAGAGCCCTGGGAGCCATCTTCCTGGCCCTTGGGGACACTGCTCGGTGACTTGTGACAAGGATATGGAAGATGACCAGTGAGCATTCCTATCTTTTAGACACCGTGTCTGGCTAAGCCCCTGGCATCATGCCCATTCCAGAGGAGGAAAACACGGCCTGGACTTGCCCAAAGCCACACCAGGTGCTGAGTTCCAGCCGGGGCTCCTCCTCTAGCCCAGGACTCCCCGGACACAGGGGCCTGGAGTATGGAGATCAGGGCCCCACCTACCTCCACGGGGTCATTTCCATTGGACAGGATATCCAGAAGGTCAGCCGAGGAGACAAAATAGAATCTTGGGAAAGCCAGTCTTTTGGTCTCTAAATGTTCTGCCAAAGCCTTTTCACACATGGCCAAGCTAGGAGGAGGGAGGGAAAAGGGGCTGGTGGGTTCTGCTTTGCAGGCCTGAGTCCTGGTGACATCTGTTTTGTGGTTCACAAATCCAGATTTAACTCAGAATTCCCAACGACACTGCCATTTCTCTACCAGCCCTAACCTCGATGGTGCTCCCAGGTGGGAAGAGGGGAGGCGTGTGCTTACTGGGGAAAGGGATTGCCATTAGCCCATGAACGGCGGTTTTGCACCATCCTGACCAGAAGGTGACATAGGACACAGACTCCTGCCACCATCAAAACCTGGTCGGGACATGTATGGGACCCACCTCTTCTTCAGCGCCTCCAGTTTGTCATAGAGACCCGGCTTGTTGGTGGCTTCCACCACGTTGGGTGTTTTCACTGCATCTGCCATCAAGGCCTGGGAGAAGTGGAACGACAAAGTGTTAACTACAGCCATGTCTGGAAAGGCCCAGACAAAGTGGGGGTTCACTCACTTTGAACTCCTGGTCAATGTCGTCGAAGCGCTTAGAGTCTTCGGGGAGCTGGGCTCGGATGTCTTCAGAGCCAATGAAGATGCTCTCCAGGTGGGTCCAGGTTCTCTGGACCTCAAACCAGATGGAGATGACGGAGTCTGCGGTGGACAGCTTCTGCTGCCAGCTCGTCACCTCCTTCAGGAAATAGGACAAGTACTTGGACATCATCAGATTCTGCAGCTGCACCTGGTTGTCCTCCAGAGTCTCCACCAGCACCTCGTCCGACTTGAGCACCATGATTCCTGTCCGAGGGTGCAGCTCGTGCTCAAATTCCATGGTGCTCCAGGTGCTGTCCAGGGCTTTCAGCACCTTTCAGGGAGAATGGTAGTAAGAACATCGAAGCATCTGGCTGCAGAGCTAAGGGGAGACGCAAAGTCTCTAGCACGGGCAAGACCAAAAGGCTCAGGCCAGCACCACTCAACCCGGACACCCATCCACCGACCATGGACGGACGTGGCGTGGCCCGTCGCACAGAGAGATGTGCCTGGGCCTCCGAAGGGAGTGGGATCTGACACATGCTACACCATAGGTGCCATGAAGGAAGCCACACACAGGAAGCTACACATTGTGTGTGACGGAGATGAGACTCTGCCACCCCAATGTCCGCTGGCACATTGACCATTTTGAGTTATAGGCAGGTGCAAGGTCTTACTGACCTTCATCCTGTTTCTTTTATCTTTCTTTCTTTTTGGCAGTATTGGGGTTCGAACTCAGGGCCTCATGCTTGCTGGGCAGGTGCTCTACCACTTGAGCTACTCTGTCATCCCCATTCTGTTTCTTAAAGCAGGGAGTGAGTTCTTAGGAGAGTGATGCCTTCCTGGGCCAGCCTCGCACCATCAGGTGCAGGTAGAGAATAGGCAGGAATTGGAGATTTTCTGTTTTGTGTTTTGTTTTGTTTTTAAATAGATTCTGCAAGTATTTTCCTCGATTTCCGTCCTGGGCTGCTAAGAGAAGGATGCTGACTTTCCTCCAGGGTTGGAGGCCGCTGCACCCTGTTAAGATGTTGGCAGCGGTGACCTACCTTCTCCATCCCAGACTCCTTCACGGCCTTGTCCACAATGCTACGGACCTCGTCCTCGTACTTGTGGAGGTTCAGCTGCAGGAGGTCTGCCAGAGTGGTATCTTCCGACATTTCAAACTTCACCTGGGAAAACCAGGCAGCTCCATATTAGTTATGCAGCAGGACGCCGTCGGCCTCCACCGAGTCTGGCTGCTGGGAGCCTCTGCTACTCAGAGGTTCCACGGCTCAGGCCAGTGACTGCTCCAAGCCTCACCTCCCTGCCCTGTGGGCCCCAAAGCGTTCCCAGAGTTCACCCAGGATATCTCAGACTTTCTTTGGAAAGAGAGTCCTGGTGGATATTAAAGAGCTTGAGTGAGCCAGCCGTGGCGGCATGCACCTGTAATCCCAAGCCCTCAGGAGTCTGGGGGCAGGAGGCTTGTGAGTTCAAGGTCAGCCTAGGATACATAGTGAGACCATCTGAACAAACACAAAAAATCTTGAGATAAGATCATCCTGGATTTTCCACATGGGCCTTACATCTGATGACAGCAGAAAAGGAGGGAGATGGGAAATTTAAAAGGTGGCCAGGTGAAGACAAAGAGACGTGGACATGGGATAAGGAACTCCTGAAGCTACCAGAAGCTAGGAGAAGCAGGAAGGACCCTCCCCGAGAGCCCCAGGGGGTGTGGCCTCTCAACAGCTTGATTGCAGACGTTCAGCTTCCAGAACTGTGAGAAGACAAGATGGTTGTTTTAAATACCCATGGGGTTCTGTCACAGCAGCCCAGGAGACAAACCCACCCCCAGGGAGCTGCTGCTTAATAACGGGCAAGGTGCCATTACTCTATTAACAATGCCAGGTACCTGCCTAGTCACTGCTGTGGTTCGGGTCCACAGTGCCCCCCAGAGATCTGTGGGTTAAAGGTACTACCAGGAGGTGGTGGAACCTTTTGGAGGTAGGAGGAAGTAGGGTCACTGAGGGGCATGCCCTCAAGGGGCATCCTTGACCCCCTTCCCATCTCTTTCTCTGTTTCTCAGCTGTCCTGAAGTGAGCAGCTCCCGCCACGATGTCCTATACTGCCAAAGGCCCAAAGCAAAGAGCCAAGTAACCATGGACTGAAACCTCAGAGTTGCATCAAGAGCCCAAACAAACCTTTCCTAAGTTGATTATCTCGGGTATTTTGTCACAGTGGCAGAAAGCTGACACCGTCACCCCACGTCCTTCTCACAGCCACTGGGACAGATGTTTCTGAGCACCTGTTCTGAGCCTGGTATGGAGGATGGTTTAGCCAGTGATGGAATCCAGAGTTTCTCAATCGTGTTTGGTGAACTCCTACATCTCAGGTATAACCAATTCCTCTTTCAGTGGGACATTTTATTTTTTATTTCACTTACTTATTTTTGAGACAGGGTCTTGCTATGTAGCCCAGGCTGGACTTGAACTCATGACCCCCTGCCTCCACCTCCTGAGTGCTGAGATTATAGGAGTATGTCACCGTGCCTGACTCAGTAAAACATCTGAGTAGCTTGTAGATGGCCCCTGGGGTCTATCTTTTGAGTCAGCACTCAAAAGGTGGCCGACAGGAGTGGGTGGGCACCCTGAGTCCTGCAATGACCTGCAGGCCAGGCTGGCTTTTCTATCAGGCCTAGAGAGCCACAGGAGGGCCCTGGACAGTGCAGTGGAGGTGAGAGGAGACTGTGCCACCCTCCTAGGTGGGTGACCCTTCAGGCTGGTGGTTAGATGAATCTGCATCTGTTCTCTTTTCCCACAGCCCCTCTCCATTGCTCCTCCATCTCCCTGGGACAATTCTGCCCCTCCTGTTCATCTACGTGGTTCTCTCTGCCAAGGTCCAGGCCAAAGTCCATGTCCACACAAAGCTGTCCCTTCATCCCCTGGGAGGTAGCGTCCACTCTTAGATCTGCCTTGAATGTCTCCCACACTTGGCACTTGGCATGAGGGTGGGTGCACCTTAGCAGAACACATCATCCCAAACCATGTTGTTCGAAATAAGCATCACTTTGAGCTGAGGTAACTGAGAATAGTACGCGCAAAGCTCTCTGCCCTCTGCTGTTTGCCTAAAAGCAGCACACACATTTGTCCAGGTGCCCCCCTCCCTGCTGTAGGGAAGGACAGAAGTAAGCCACCTGGGACAGCCAGGACCTGCAGGATCCCAGCCAGGGCAGAGGACAGCTGCAAAGACAGGAGCTACAGCTCTCCTTGTGCCCCCGCCGAGGCCCCCACACCTGCCTTCCCACGTGACAGCCCCATCACTGCCGAAAAGCCAGGTGCTAACCAGCCCTGGCATCTCAACTGTGTGTACGGTGTACATGTTCACACTCCCCCGCCTAACTTCCTTTGTTAATCTGCCTTTCAGGCTAATTTACAGAGCTCCACCCAGTGAACCTAAGGTGGGTGGAAGGAGAAATAAGTTTTTCCTCTCCCATAACAGCATTCCGTGCTCTTTCTCCTTTTGCTGCCTTGAATGCAGGGCCAACTTTTCTGTGTCCTTGACATCTGTGCAGGGCGTTGGCTGAGCTGCCACTAGGAGCAGCTGACAGTGAGCATATGCCTTCTTCTTTCTGCGGGTGTCAAGGCCAGAATCTACAGGATATCCCTGGAAATTTCTGGGTGCAGGACTTTTTGCTCCTGGGACCCCATCACTTTGTATAGCCTAGGCTGGTCTTGAACTCGTGATCCAAACTTCCTGAATCCTATAGCTATTCAACCTTCACCCAGGACTGGCTATGTAATCTGCAGAGCCCAATGCAAGATGAACACGCAGAGTCCTGTTTGAAAATTTCTGAGTGTCAGCCGAGCATGGTGGTACATATCTGCAATCCCAGCTACTCGGGAGGTAGAGGAAGGAGAATCACCAGGTTCCAGGTCAACCCAGGCAAAGTTAGCAAAACCCTACCTCAAAAACAAAAACAAAAGGACTCGGGGTGTAGCTCACTGGTAGTGCCCTTGCCTAGCATGCACAAGGCTCTGGCTTCCGGCCCCAGCACCATTTAAAAAAAAAAAAAAAGTGAAACTTACTAAGTTTTGCACAAAATCACGCAAGCCCCTCTGCGCTTGGAGCTTGGCGTGATGGAAGCCAACCCTGTCCACGTCTGGTTTTATGGGCACCAGGTGGAGCAACTCCAGCCAGCCCATCCCATAGCAGGGCTGGCTGCCAGAGGCTGCCCCCTCCGCCATCCCAGGGCCGGTGGCAGTACCTGGGTGGCCTGCATGAGCTGTTGCCAGTGGCGGTCCCGGATGGCGGGGTTTTGCAGCTCGCTCACGGCACGCAAGGACGTGATTATGTTTCTCACGGTGTTGTCAAGCCCCACGAAGGCGTCCCAGGCCTTCATCTCTTTGTCCAAAGACCTCACGTCCTTGGCGAATTTTTTGAAGTCTATGTCCATTTGCTCCACGTTGATGTCTTTCCACTTGGTGGTCTTCCAGTCATCGATGCTGGTGTTGACCTGCCATGGGAATGCTTGTTGACCTCCTGGCTTCGTCAACAAGCCCTCGGGAAGACACGCCTGCCACCCTGCCACACGCTCTGGGGCAGGAATTCCTACAACTCAAACCAGAGTTCAGGGCACCAAGGAAAGGAAATCAACCATTGTGTCAGAAACACAGCAATTAACAGGAGCTGGGAGGGGAGTGGCTCAAGGGCTGGGGACATGGCTCAAGTGGTACAGTGCTTGCCTAGCAAGCACAAAGCCTGAGTTCAAACACCAGTACTGCTCCCCACCCCAGGAAGAAAAGAAAAAGAAAATAAAAGCAGTTAAAATGTACTCGGGCAGCCAGGTGCCAGTGGCTCATGCCTGTAATCCTGGCTACTCAGGAGGCAGAGATCAGGAGGATCGTGGTTCAAAGCCAGCCCAGGCAAATAGTTCGCAAGAAAAAAAGAATCACAACAAAGAGCTGGTGGAGTGGCTCAAGGTGTAGGTCCTGGGCTCAAGTCCAAGTACTGCAAAAAAAAAATGCATTTGGGCAAAAACCTGTGTTGGAGCCTTTCTACTGCTGAAAAGGACCTGGTTCCCCTCGCTTTTGGGAATGGCCGTGTAATTCACCTTGGCCTGCACTTCTGCACAGGAGCCTTTAATCGCCAACATTTGGCAACATTGAAACGCAGCCTGGAATGTTGAGCTGACTCTTGACAGACAGCTGCCCGAGGACAGCTTGGAGCACAACACGCAGAGATCTGTAGGGCTGTTTGTCACTGCACAGTAACTGAGCTTCCACTGACAAAAATGTCAGAGGAGAAACTTCATTCCTGGCCATAAGAAACAAACCAAACTACCTGGGGGAACCCTACAGTACAGGCCGTTTTTTTTTTTTTTAATGGTATTGTGATTTGAACTCAGGGCTTGTGCTTGCTAGGCAAACATTCTACCACTTGAACCATGCACCCAGCCTGAGACAGAAGATTTTGAAGCCTGCATTCTTAAATTTGGGATGGGTTGAATCTGGGTATGGTGGTACATGCCTGTAATTCCAGCTGATACTCAAGACACAGAAACAGGAGGCTTCCAAGTTTGAGGCTGATCCAGGGAAAGTTAGCCAGACCCTATCTCAACACCAAAATCAAAGCAAAAGGGCTGGGGGCATAGCTCCAGTGGCAGAGTGCTCACAGCAAAAGCTAAGTTCAATCCTCAGTACTGCAAAACAGAAGAGAAAAGAAAAGGGGGTGCGCTGAAAATGACTGCAAAGCCGGAGGCCTCTACCTAATGGAGTCCGACTGTGGACGCAGGTGCTACAGGTGGAGAAGCCGGGGTTTGCCGACCTTCTGTGTTCCCTAAAGACCAAACTGGCAGTACTTATGGGATGTTTACCCTCAGAATAGGAAGACTCGAAACCTTCATACCTAGCAGAACCATCAGCCATCCCTCTCGGGTAGGTTCATCCCGTTCGTGTCCTGTCCTTATAATGTGCCCTGGCTAGTCGGTTTTGGAGAATTTGCTTATCATCTCCTGGGAAATGTGCCCTTTATTCTCTTGACTGTGCTAATGATTTGTTGTTTGTTTGTGTTTTGAGACAGGGTCTTGCTACGCAGCCCGGGCTGGCTTGGAACTGGCAATCCTCCTGCCTCAGCCTCCTGAGTGCTAGGATTACAGGTGGGCGCCACCATGCCCAGTTTTGTGCTAATGATTTTTGCACTGAAGACGTGCAGCATCCCTTTCTCCCCGATGGCAGTGAAAGTGTTCTGCATGCCACGCACACAATAGAGACTCAGATTCAGCTAACTGTGAAAGAAAGAGCATCGAGAGGCTTTGACTTGTGCCCTCTCTTGAGGCCTGGATGTGATCAAGTCCACGGCTCTAAGGATTTATTTCTATGTAAGAAATATGTAACCAGGTTCAGTGACTCATGTCTATAATCCCAGCTACTTTTTTTATAGAGGCAGAGATCCGTAAGATTGTGGTTGGAGGCCAGCCCAGGTCTACCCAAAAGTTAGTGAGACTCCAACTCAAAAAATAGCTGAGCATGGTGGTATACTCCTGTGATACCAGCTATGCAGGAAGTGTAGGTAGGACTGTAGTCCAGGCTGGCCTGGTAAAAAACGCAAGACCCTATCCAAAAAAAAAAAACCTAAAGCAAAAAGGCTGGGGACATGATTCAGGTAGTAGAGCACTTGCCTAGAAAGCACAAGGCCCTGAGTTCAAACCTAGGTGCTAAAAGAAAAAAAAAGCAAGAAAATATGTAGAGTCAGTATAACCAGAATGAAGACATTCACAGTATTTTCCTGGGGTGTATTAAAAAAATAATAATAAATGAGGAGACAGAGCCGGCTCCTGTATGGGAGCCCTGAGCACTGCCAAGAGACAAATTCCCCCGACACAAGTTCACAGAGTTGACCAACTCCACCTAAAACTGTAATAATTTTCTCTTGGCAGGGAGGAGCACTTGGCAAACTATCCTAAAGTTCACTCAGAAAATAAGAGAAGAGCTGGAACACTTTTGGACACCAATGAGCAAAGAGGAGAGAGGACAGCAGAAGTTAAACAGGTGCACCCCCCCCACCCCCACACACAGGGGGGCGTGGAGGACGAGGTCCTGTGGTCCTGCTCAGAAGACTCCTCCACTGGCCTCCTTCACATGCAGCACACAGGTGACCCAGCCCAGACCTGCTCCTACTCAGAAAGATCCCAGGCTCCTGCGCTGCCTCCTCTTCTCTGAACTTCATCCTCTGCCACCGAGACAAATTTCCATTCCTTCAGGGCTGTGTAAGCAACTGAGAAAACCAAAAATGGCAGCTTGCCAGTGCTCCCAGCTCTGTCAAGATGGAGAAGTCCTGCTGCTTCCCAGCCTGCCATCTCACAATGGAGGACCCTGGTCACCCACACCAAACCAGACAACAGTAAGGACAATCGCTCATGCACTGAGGAAGACATGCCACACAGTTGTATTTAAAGGAGCAGAGGAGAGGGCAAAGGGACCTAAATGGATCCCTACACTCTCTACCCAAAGCCATCAAATGTTGCTATGGTAGACTGATATGTATGCCCTGTAAGACACACACAAAAATACTGAGAAAATTATGCCAGCTGTTTATTGAAAATCACTCTAAAAAATCAAGACATTTCCTAACAATGTTCAAAAAAAAGAAAAGAGAGGCAGAGGAACAAGAAACAGAAGAAACAAACACAAAACAAATAACGAGATGTCAGAGTAAGTCCTAACAGGTCAATAATTATCTTCAATGTAAATGGGGAGCTACACCACGTACAAGACAGAGACTGGCAGTGTAGACAAAAAAACATGATCCAGTAATATGCTGTGTACAAGAAACTCACTTGAAATATAACAGCGTAGGGAGGTTGAAAGAATGAAAAAAGGTAGACGATGGCCAACACTAATCAAAGCAATCAACAAAAAAACAGAAGGAGCTATATTAATATCAGATTAAGCCAACTTTAGAGCAAAGAAAATGACCAGAGGCAAAGAGGAATATTTCATAAGGAAAAAAATGGTCGACTCATAGGAAGATACAAAAATCCCAAGCGTGTGTACCCTAAGTCACAGGGCCTCAAAATACAGGAAGCAGAAGCTGATGCGGCTGAATACATCACAGTTGCAGAGGGGGACGCCAACCCCCGCTCCCAACAGTTCAGAGTTGTGACAGAGCGTGAGCAAGGCTGCAGGACCAGACGAGGCAGTCCGTGGATAGGACCTGGTGAACAGGGAACCCTGCACCCAACAAAAGCAGAACCATCCACCAAGACAGACATATCCTTACCTGTAAAACGAACCTCATCGATTTAAAACAGTTTAAGTAGTTCAGTAGTCTCTTCAAGAAAATAAAAGAGGAGAGGACACTTTTCAACTCATGAAGCCAGTATTGCTCTGATACCCAAACCAAAGGCATCACTGCTTGCTTTCTTAACACAGCCCAGTGCATCTCATCAGATCACCAGCAAAAATCCAGCATGGGGAATTTTGGACTCAGACAAGTGGCATTCCTTCTTTAATTTTTTTTCTTCTTTTTGGCAGCACTGGGGCTTGAACTCAGGGCCTCACACTTACTAGGCAGGCACTCTACCACTTGAGCCACTCCACCAGCCCTTTTTTGTGATGGGTATTTTTGAGATATGGTCTTGTGAACTGTTTGCCTGGGCTGGCTTCGAACCGCAATCCTCCTGATCTCTGCCTCCTGAGTAGCTGGGATTACAGGCAGGAGCCATGGCGCCTAGCTACATTGGTTATTTTTGAGATAGGATCTTGAGTTATGCCGAGGGCGGCCTGCGCTGTGACCCTCCTGTTTGTGCTTCCCAGGGTAGCTGGGATAATAGGTGTGAACCACCATGCACAGCTGTTGGTTGAGATGGAGTCTCAAGAACTTTTTGCGTGGGTTGGCCTTGAACCATGATCTTCGTGGTCTCTGCCTCCTAGGTAGCTAGGATTATAGGCATGAGCTAAAAAATTTTTTTTTAAGGAGAAGTGAGATATAAGAGAGAGTAAGAGGAGGAGGAGGAAAAAGAAAAAGGGAAGGGAGGACAGAAAAAAAGAGAGGCAGTAGATGGAAGGTGAGCCAACATCCCACACAGAGAAAAAGGCCAAGAGAAGTGCTCCAGGAGAGAGAGCCAGCTTGGGGTCCTTTGGGTGCCTCCCCAGGATCAGGAAACCAGTTATTGTGTTCTTACAATGGGAGGTCCCCGGGGCAGCCCCTCTTGGTGCCAGGTGCAGCCCCATGCAGCACCAACCTCTTCCCCTCCCCACGCCTCCTCCCTCCCCTCAACCCCCGTCACCTGCCTCCCAGGCCCCCTCACCATCATGATCATGTCCCAGAGTTCCTTCAGCAGGCGGACCTCCTTGTGGCAAGCTTTCAGCTGCTTGTAGTCTGGGACCGCGACCTCGAACAGGCTCCCGGACTTGCACAGTGCCTCCATGACAGCCTCCATGTTCGTGATGCTCTTTTGTTGCTGTGGGCGGGAGAGGCCGTTAGTAAGCCGCCCCCAGCCCAGGCACTGCACCCCACCCTGCTCCCCACCATCCTGCGCTCTTTTCTCCACCCTGACCCCCCACACCTGTGCACCATGGAGGTCAACACTCAGTCGATAAGGCAGCAGCCACAGCTCTGCCCATGATGCCCTCACCCTGCTCGTCTACGGGCTGGGGCAGACTTTCAGTGGACTGTGAATAAATCCTGCTGGGATGGATATCCTGACTCCCCAGCATTTCCCCCATTTTCAAACTATACTCTTTATCTTATTAAAAAGGACACGAGGTCTGGTGTGGTGGTACAGGTCTGTAATCCCAGCATTTGGGAGTTCCAGGCTAGCCTGGGCTACACAGCGAGACCCTGTCTCAAAAAAAAAAAAAAAGACATGAATAATGCTGGATTGCTTTAAAAATTAGAACATAAAGATAGGCAAAGAGGAGAAAACTTAGTCAATTCAAATCCCATCACTAAGTATTAACATCTAAGAACGGTTTGGTGTCGCATCTGTACACAGCTGGCTCTTTGTGTCTGCAGGTTTCACATCCTTGGAGTTAACCAAATGCAGATTGAAAACATTTGAAAAAAAATTGCATCTGTGCTGAACATTTATAGATCTTTTCTTGTCATTGTCCCCTACACAATATAGTGGAAAAAGTGTTTACACTGCACTGACATCGTGTTAGGGCTTGTAAATCCTCTACAGAGGATGTAAAGTGTACAGGGGGGTGTGTGCAAGTCCTTTGCAAATACTACGACATCCTATATCGGGTACCTGGGCACACCTGGATTTTTGTATCCATGGGTCCTTGGAACCTGTCCCCTGTGGATGCCGAGGGATGAGTTTGTACGCACGTGTGTGTGTGTGTGTGTGTGTGTGTGTGTGTATACACACAACTCAATGATCCAGGTGGGAACCAAGGCAGCTCCTGCATGTACACACACTGCCTTGTAACAGCCTTAATCCTGGGCATAATCCCAAGGTCGCCTTGGGGCTCAGGTTTGCTGGAGCCTGAGGCACTGCTGAGTGAGCAGAGGTCCCTGACCCTGAGTACTGAGCTGGGTGCAGACGGGCGATGGCTGGCGTGGGCCCTGTGCACCCCATGTACTCCTGCCCTACAAGAGTCCATGGCACCCCAGCCTGAGTGAGTGGCCAGGTCCACACTTTGTGAACTTGTACACCAGATGCTGACCATGCAACTTGGACAGGAGAACAGAGTGGGGACATGTGGGAGCTTGGTAGCTGACTGGATGTGGTGGGCCAGAGAGAGGAAGGAGTAGGGGATAGGCGGTGAGCGTGAGGTCCAGGTGACAGCTTTGGGAACAAGTGAGGTGAAGCCAGGTTGAGGGACAGGACAGGTCTGTAAGGCTCACAGATGTCCAGATGGGCTTGGGCTGTGGCCTGGAGCAGATACAGTGTTAGTGGTGTGATACAGTGTTAATGGGAGGGATGCTTAGGCCACACACACATGCACACACACACATGTACACACTGACCCAGAGGCCAGTTCCATCGTGACCACCTTTCTGGACTTGCAAGAGTAACAGCTGGAGAACAGATGGGCCAGCCTGGGGGTTCCCGAGTTGCTACCCGGTCTCACCCTCGCACAGGAATACCTTATTGAGCGACTTGTAGGGCTCGGAGCTGCTGAAGGAGAACGGGGCTTCTTGTCTGAACTTCTCCCTGAACTCGTGCTGCTTCAGCTGCGGGAGCAACACAGAGACACGGCTGCAGCCCGAGGGCCGCCCAGCCCCTTCCAGGCCCAGAGCACCTGAGCGGTGGCAGTCCCGCTGCTCCCCCGGCTGCCGCCTGGCGCGGAGCGAGGCACCTCGAATTGCTGGCACTTTCGTCGTAGGGTGCTGACCTCGTTGGCCTGGAGGGGGATCACGTTCTGCTTCACCTGCATGGCCAGCTTCTTGGTGTTTGTCCACTGCTCCGGCAGCTCCTAAGGAGGCAAAGGCACGGTGTGTGCTTGTGTTGCGGGGGTCTGCTTCTTTTTCTTTTTTTTTAAACGTGCAGTTGGGAAATAACTTCACACCCCCAGGAAGCTGCAAAAAAAGCCCAAGTTCCCCCCTACGCCCCTGGTCCAGCCTCCTGCAATGGTGAGCTAGCCAGGAAGCTGCAGGGTACCCTCTGTGAACGACAACTCTCTTCTTATCATGGCTTTGAACATGAATCCGCTTTTGTGTGTGCACGTGTGCAGGCGTGGGAGTGTGTGCATGTGTTCACATGTGGTTGTGTGTGCGTGGACACCTGTGTGCATTTTTGCGTGCGTGTATGTGTAGTCCTATGCAATTTTATCTGTGTATCCACTGTGACCAAGGCAGGGAACCATAAAGGAATTCTCTTCCCAGTACCCCTCCCCCAGCCCCTGGCAACCTCTAACCTGCCCTCCACTGCCAAAACCGACCTTTCCAGAATGACTCGAACAATCACACATTTCTGTATTTCCCAATTCTTGACACTTAGGCAGATACTTTATTTATCATCATAAAATATTTTAACTCTCCCTGCAAATGGAGGAGATGTTCTCACTTCTGTGATCGACGGCCCTCATGGGCTGTCTGCAGCGATCAGCCTCACCTGCCATTCCTACACCCCAATTATCCCCTGAGTGGCCCAGGAGCCCCTCCAGACTGGCCTCAAATCCTAAGGCTTCAGCTAGACCTCGGGCAAGGTGGCAGGGGCAGGCACAATGCCTGTTGTTTAAAGTCCAGAGCTAAATAAGGGTGGACCCTTGGCAGCATGGGTCACCCTAGTTGCCTTCTGGCTCCTTCCCCGTTACCCCTGGGCTATGGATCTGGGCACTGTGTATATGAGCAGAAGGAGTGGCCTGGTGTGACTGGACACAGGAAAGGCAGGTGAGTCTGGAAAGAGACAAAAACTCCAGGACCAGACACAGGTGGCAAGGGGTGGCATCTCCTTGGTGGCCCCGAGGAGCCCTGCTCCCCACCCTGCTCAGCCCCAGCCCAGCCAGAACAGACCTTCCTTGATGCTGACAACAGACATTGTCTCAGTTAGTGGCAAATGGCTGAGCAAAGGCAGCTTCTGGCCCCAGCTCCTCTGTCTGACCTTGGATTCCTGCCACCATCCTTTATGCTAGGGGACGACCCTGTACCCAGGAGAAGATGTGGACCACGAAGGCATTTTAACCCAATAACACAATCAAATGGGACTCTTCTGGCTTTGGAAGGCTGCCTCCAGTGCCCCTGTGCTCCAAGAAGCCTCCTCCTCCCGCCTCAGCACCTGGGGGATCCAGAGTCCAGCAGGTGTCCAGACTGCAGTGTCCCCACCTGTCTGGGACCCAGCCCGCCCCTTGCCTGGTGGCACCTGCCACCTGTGGCCACCTGCCTGCAGCTTCAGGTAGATTTCCTCTGGCATCTCCTCCCCATAGGTCTTGAGCAGCTCAATGGTTTGCTTCAAAGGCTCGAACATGCTGTCGGTTGATGCCTGCCTCTCCTTGACCTTCATCAAGTGCCCCATGACTTCCACGAGGCCATCATAGTCACCCTCCTTGAGGTGCTTCGTTAGGCCCATCCGGGCGACTTTCATGAATGCTTCCAGGTCAGCCAGACTGAGGAACAAGGGCAGTTTGTGATGGTCCTGTCCTTCCTGGGCCCCACTCTCAATGGGGCACGGGTGGGGGCCACCAGAGGGGGACACTTCAAGGGTACCTGGCTGTCATGCAAGGCCCTGACTGGGGAGGCACTGCTGCTGCCGTCTTGGAACCACCAGCTTGATGAGCTGCTGCCTGGACATCCCCCATGCCTGGATAGCTGAGCTCAGCTAAGCTATCCAGCTTAAGGCTGTGAGCCCCAGCTTAAGGCTGCAGCTCAAAGAGGCCTTTGCTGGCTACCCAGAGGGACTCAGCTGGATGACACACCCTCCTGGCCCGGTACCCATCCTGATCACTGACGCTCATTCTACAGGTGCTGGTTGCTTTGCACGACATCAACCTCTTGCCAGGCCCCAGGCTCCCCGAGCCCTCCTCAGCAGCAGGAATCTGGACACAGTACGTACTCAACAATTGGGGGCTGGACAAAGGGACAGAGCATTTGCTCACAGCCAGTGACACTTTCCTCTGGAACCCACCCTTGGAGGGGTTCCCCTCAAAGCCTCGCCAGAGGTGACACCAGACATAGCCACAGTCCCCATTTCTGACCCCATGTGTCTTTCCTGGGCTCTGCAGGGGTCCCTGGAGGGGTGGAGGGGGGTGGGGCCAGCCCACCTGTTGATGACATGGTCACTCAGGTAGCGCTTGAACATGAAACTCCAGCGCTTGATGGTGTTAAGCAGGGCCTGTTTGAAGGGGCGGCAGTCACACTGCAGCCAGCCGTTGAACACCTTGGTGTTCTCACACTTGGACACCTCCTCGTACAGCTTCTCATAGGAGTCGATCTGGAAAACAGTCGCTGGGCTCTGTCAAGGTCCCCAGGTGGGGCTCCAGAGTGGCTGGGGGCTGGGTGGGTACTCGTCCTCTGGGGCCACTGCAGAGGGCAGCCACCTGGCCCAGTGTGTGGCTTTTAGGAGGTCAACACTACAAGGTGTTTTCTCTCCTCCCATCTCCAGGGCTTCCTGTAGCCCCCAAAAGTCTGTCCCCAAAGAAGACAGCCTGTCAGAGAGAGCAGCACTGGGAGGACTTCTGGAGCAGGAGCAGACAAAGCTTCAAAAGGTGACTGCAGAGGCACCTGCACACCCATGTTTATTGCGGCACTATTCACAATAGCCAAGTTATGGAAACAGCCAAGATGCCCCAGCACTGATGAATGGATTAAGAAAATGTGGTATCTATACACAATGGAATTTTATGCAGCCATGAAGAAGAACGAAATGTTATCATTCGCCGGTAAATGGATGGAATTGGAGAACATCATTCTGAGTGAGGTTAGCCTGGCCCAAAAGACCAAAAATCGTATGTTCTCCCTCACATGTGGACATTAGATCAAGGGCAAACACAACAAGGGGATTGGAGTTTGAGCACATGATAAAAGCGAGAGCACACAAGGGAGGGGTGAGGATAGGTAAGACACCTAAAAGATTAGCTAGCATTTGTTGCCCTCAACGCAGAGAAACTAAAGCAGATAACTTAAAGCAACTGAGGCCAATAGGAGAAGGGGACCAGGAACTAGAGAAAAGGTGAGATCAAAAAGAATTAACCTAGAAGGTAACACACACGCACAGGAAATCAATGTGAGTCAACTTCCTGTATTGCTATCCTTATCTCAACTGGCAAAAACCCTTGTTCCTTCCTATTATTGCTTATATTCTCTCTACAACAAAATTAGAGATAAGGGCAAAAGTTTCTGCCGGGTAGTGAGGGGGTAGGGGGGGAGAGGGAGGGGGCGGGGGGGTAAGGGAGGGGGTGGGGGAAGGGGGGAGAAATGACCCAAACAATGTCTGCACATATGAATAAAATAAAAATTAAAAAAATAAAAATCTACACTAATAAAATTATATGCAATATCTTAAAAAAAAAAGGTGACTGTGGTCAAAGGGGCTCTCAAAGAGCCCCCTTTAACTCTTCCTAGGCCCTCTAATGCCACCCCTCCTTGTGGGGTGGGTCACTCTCGCTCACGGGCTCCCTTTCTCACTGCACCTTAAGAACAAGTAGGAGAGTTGTGTATTAACTGTGTTTTCTTCTCTCTCTCTCTCTCTCTCTCTCTCACTCTCTCTCTCTGGTGGGACTGGGATTTCAATTTAGGGCTTCACATTTGCAAAGCAGGTGCTCTACCACTTGAGCCTCCAGTCCATTTTGCTCTGGTTATTTTGGAGATGGGGGGGGTGTCTCACAAACTATTTGCCTGGGGTGGCCTCAAACCACGATCCTCCCTATCTCAGTCTCCCAAGTAGCTAGGATTACAGGCAAGAGCCACAGGCGTCCAGCCCCCACTGTTTTTATATACATGATTTGGGAGGAGGGTATTTTAAAAATGCAAGACGTGTAAAGAAGCATGGAAATGTGACACATGATCAGGAGAAAAACTGTTACTAGGAGTTGGCCCACACCTGCAAACTGTTGGTTCCTTTTGGTAGAAACCGCAAAAAGGCCCTTCACTCCCTCTGCCTCCTAACTGACTCTGGGGCTTCCCCATGTGACTCTGTGTGGCGTGGCACCCTCCTCTTGGGAACTGTGAGTAACAAACTATGTTGTCAAAAGAAAAGTCTCCACCTTGCATTACTTCACCCAGGCTTGAAATCAAGCCCTGCAATCCTCTACTGGAGGACTCAAAAGACGGGGAGGCCAGGTTCATACGCACCTGCTGCTGAAACTGATTGAGGGTAGGTGGCGTCTTGGGGATGGTCTCATCTGTCCGGGTGTCCAATTCCTCCACGGTGGGCGCATGCCCAAAGATCAGGAAATTCTTCATGAACTCCTGGAGGTCATCCATCCAGAGATAGGAGTATCTCTCAAAGGAGTCCTGGTGCTCCTCAGCCTCCTTCATGGCGTTGACCACCAGGCTGGACACTTCTTCCTTCATCTCCATGAGGTCTGTCATGTCTTCCAGGTCTGTCTGGAAGGGGTGAGAGAGAAACCAACGGATGAGGCACTTGACCTGTTTCTGTGACTCAGAATTTACCCTCTGCAACGGGCAGAGGCTCTCAGCGGGGGCTCGCGTGCCAGAAGACCCTTCTTGTGGCCCTTCTGCTCTCTGCAAAGTGCACTCCTGGGACAGAAAGCCTATGTTGGTGCTTCTGGGTTTACGTGAGCTCAATTCCAGGACTCAGCTGGCTTCAAGGTGTTCTCTTCTCACCTTTTCCACCTCCACAGGAGGGATCCAGATTCAGGGTGGGCTGGGGTGCAATCTAGCCCAAAGTGGGGTGGGCAGGAGTGGCTGCCTGGAGGCTTTCTCCTTGCAGCCTCCCTGCAGCATGCCCAGTTCCCTAGGTACTGGTGTTTTAGACAGATGGCCTGGGTTTCACTGTGTTCTCTGCTCTGAGATCCCCATGCTCTGTTATCTCCTTGTCCTGACCCCCATTTCCTCTGTGTGTCTCCTTGGTGTCCCACTGGAAACACCTCCTGGGTTCTCTATCACCATGCTGTGGTGCTCAGTCCTCTGGGAAGTGATCATGGTCCCAGCTGCCTGGGTTCCCCATCCTGTGACCGTCTTCTACTGCCCTGTACCATGTCAGATGCAGCATCTCTGCAGCTCACTGCTGGGCTTTGGAGGAACCTTGACACTGAGCCATGCAGCTCTAAATCATCCTGCTTGGGTGGCCTGGGGTGTCTGAGACAGCTCGCATGTGTGCTGTAAAAGCTTGGACGGGGTGGTTCTAACCACAACATCTCTTGGATCCTGAAATCAACCTGCTCTCTCATCCCTTGGATTGAGGTGGAGGGCAGCTCCAGGCACCCTGATTCTGAGGGCACTGCCTTGCCTGGTGTCTGTGTAATGGGGGTAAACACTATCTGAACTCTGGGACAGTTGGCTGGTTGTACCAGGGCTAGGCACACCACCTGCTCGTGGCTCACAGATCACAGCCATTTTCTCTGCCTGAGTCTGTTGGCCTGGAAAGCTCCTCTCACCCTCAAGGAGGGTCTCTCTGGATGTGCACCTTAGAAGCCCACCTCTATCTTCCCAGGGAGTGAGCTCCTTCCTCTTGGGTCCTCACTTCATTGCACTGTATACCATGAACACATGCATAGGTACAGGCACACACATGTGTACACACATGCACAACATTCACAGACACAAGCAGGTATGCACACATATGCAAACACACAAGCACTCACATGAAAACATGCACAGACACACATACAAATACATAAGACACACATGCAAACATACCACACACAAACACGCAATTCACACACAACACATGCATACACACACAGAAACATTCAAGGCACACACAGGCACGTGTGTGCAAATGTACCCACTCTCACACACATGCAAATACACACGAACATGTGCTCACACATCCCCCCTTCCTGATAGCACGGAACATCTTGCTGTAACTGTTTGCTTTACAAATAATACATGCTGACTGTTGAAAATACAAACAACGCAGAAATTTCTGAAATAAAAGGCCCCATTCGTGCTCCTGCCCTCTCCCTATACCCCGCTTCCCCATCCTGGTTGCCATAAGTACGCACTCAATAGTTTGGAGTATATTCACAGAAATACAGATTTTTTTTTTTTGCTTGTTTAAACAAATGAAATCATATTATAAACTTTGTCCCACAACTTAATAAACTCTTGATGACATCAAGACCATCTTTCTGCCCTGGCTCATTTTCTGAGTCAGACTTAGTGTGGATGGGTCAGGGAGTGAGCTCCTTCCTCTCTGATTTTTGTGTTTCTAGGGTACAAACAAATGCCCTGACCAACACACCTGCTCCAACCTGCCCTTGGGGTTGCTGAGTGGCCTGTGACTTCTGCACGCAGAACTGACCTTGCCCAGGGTTTAGTGCACTTGGAGTAAATGGTGTAGAAAGCAACAGAAGGCATCTTTGTCAAAACACCTGAGTGCAGACAGAATCTCAGTGTCTAAATGACACAGAATGAACCATTGGGAGGAGGTAGGGGAGCAATTACTCTCCTGGCGTCTTGCTGTGGAGTGAGACCCAGGCAGGCCGTGGACAAGAGGCCACTTTGGGGAGGACATAGAAAGAGAAAGTGGGTTTACTGGGGAGCTGATGGGATGGAACTTTCAAGCTCCTCATCACCTTCAGAACCATCACCATGTACCATATAAACAAGCAGGCATTGCTGAGTTAGAAGGGAGTTCCACAACAGAAAAATGATTGATGCCCACAAGGAAACCCAGTAGAGCTATGGAAAACCATGACTGACCTTGTAGCTCACTCTGCCCTTGGCCAGCCTGGGTATGAGCCTGGCCACATTGTAGAGGTCATTGACCAGGCCTTCGATCAGCCCCAGGAAGCCCTCCTCCAATCCCATCTCCAACGACGGGTTGAAGGTCAGCCCCTCCTCGTCTAGCTCCATACGGATCTCAAACAGTGGTGCCACGCTCTCCTGAAAAAAGCCATTGTGGGGTCAATGACTTGGTCTGCTTCAAATAATTCTCAGAGCCCAGACTGTCAATGCCAGGCACCATCCGAGGTATGGTGGAACTACCTTTCTCTGACTTGGACCACTTCAGTGAGCATGCTTCCTGGGGGGCTGCCATCTGGGCAATCCACATGGGACCAACGCACAGCCATGGGACCCAAAGTTGGCAGGGACTAGGCTGGGGGGAAGGCAGGCATGAGGAGGTGGATTACTTAGTTCAAAACCCATAGCTGCCTTGGGTGAGTTGCCAGAAACATCACAGTTTCCCAAAGATAAAAAACAAGGACCACCCTTTTTCAGGATGGAAGCATGGGTTGCCTCACCTCTCTGGGTTACTGTCAGGAATGAACGAACCAATCACATACAAGGTGGTGTGACAGCAACTGGACAAGCCCTTGCATCCCTTTGGTTCCCATCAACCAAGCTCACGCCCTGCCACACCATGTCTGCTCCCAGTCGTCTCTGGTGGGGCTACAGGTGCTAGCCCCATCCAAGAGCAACTGGGATCATGGTTGACCTTAGGGCTTTTCCCATCACACCAGCACATACATTCACACATACCAGTGTGTCCCAAGGCACAGGTGGCCCCAAAATCAATACCATGACCAGCAATCTTCTCCCAAACCCAAGGCCCCATTGACCTGAGCCCACTAAGCTCTCCACAACTGGAAAGGGCTGAATTATCAGTGTCTGAGCACACTGAGCTCAAACACAACTCATCTGCACTCCATGACTTGGAGAAGAGCCTCTCACTGCCAAGTTCCCTTCTTGTTGGTGGGATGGTGGGGGGCTTTGATGTCAACTTACTGGCTGTGTTCAGAATCATGTGGGGGCCCTTGGAATGAAAAGGACATGGTAGGGAGTAGGTCACCTCCTTGCAGAACACACCTCTGTGGAATTCACCAGCATACCCTCTTGGGTGCCTCTGCTCGGCCAGGCAGAGGGGTGAGTAGGTTAATGGCTGATTTTGCTGGCAGGTTCCGTTCCCCTCAACCATCACCATGAGTAGGTAACAGTGGCACCTGTTTTCTCTCTGATGGCAGCAGGGTGGGACAATTTTCTCAGATCTGCTCAGTTATTCTACAGCAGATTTGTGTCATGGCAGTTATGAGGTAACCAACTCCATCCCAAGGGCCTGGGATGGAGGGATGCAAGACTTAGGACGGGGTGGTCTGTAAAATGATAGCATGCTCTTTCATGAAGAAACTCCAAATTATAGATTCCAGTAGGGCCTTACCTCATATTCACACACACCCCTAAAATTGACAACTTACATCCATAACCATGTTGTTTGTTAGGTAGTTTAGAGATTTGCGGATGAAATGGTCAAATTCGTCTAAGACCACGTTGTCGATGTAGTTAACATAGTCCGTCCAAGGCAGGCTGGTTGTATCTGCTCTGACCAGCTCCGCGTTTTCCTGAAATACATGGTTGACTTCAATGGCACGGTTCATCTGCTCACTCTACTCAGTGTATTCCAGGGCTCTCTGGACCACCCTTGTCCTTGTCCACTTGGTTCAGAGACACAGGTCTGCTCTGAGCTTCTAGAATGTGCCAGACTCTTTCCTATAGTCCACCTGGACACTGGCCACTCCCTTCCATTCCTGCCTTGTTCAACGTCTTCTAATCTTTTAGCTTTCAGCTCAAATGTCACCTCCCCACAAAGACTCTCCTCAAGCACTCTCTATCCATCTCAGGTTGGATCCTATCCCTGCCCCCGCCTTATTCCCTTGGAAATCTGTTATTTATACCAACAGGATACAGGTGACAACTCTTAAGTTTTTTTGTCTTTGGTTTCTATCTGTTCCTGCTTTGATGCCCAGCTTCACGAGAGCTTTTCACTGCCATGTTTCCTTCTCGTTGGTGGGCTGGAGGGGGACTTTGATCTCACCTTACTGGATGTGTTCATAATCATTTGGGGGCCATCTGAATAAAAAGGACATGGTAGGGAGTAGATTGACTGTTTTTTCCACCACAGAGTGGGAACTGGTGGATGGATGGATAGATGGATGGATGGATAGACAGAAGAGTGGATAGGTGGATAGATGCATGAGTGGATAGATGGATGGATGTATGGACAGATGGGTGAATAGATGGGGGGGTGGATGGATGAATTGATGGATGGATGGTTGGATGGATAGCTAGGTAGGTGGATGAGTGGATGGATGAGTAGGTAAGCGGATGGATGGATGGATGGATGGATGTGATAGATGGGTGAATGGATGGATGAGTGTAAGACACTGAGTGCTACAGGGGGAACACAAAGATGAATATGACTTAGTCTGCACTGTCAGGCATCTATGTTTTGAGAGAGCATTCATAGGCCCAAATAACTTTAGTGTAAGACAGAGAAATGGTTCAGATAACTGTCATATGAGTTGATGTATGTGATAAAAAAAAAAAAAAAACCCTGGCACAAAGGCAAGGTTATTTATCAAAGCTGGAGATCAGGCGAGGCATGTCTCGTGGGTTCACTGGCCTCAGCTCCCTTACCCTCCTCACCAGCCTCCTTGCTGTACTCTGAAGCTTTCCTAACCCAGAAGCAAATCTCTCCTGTGTGGTTTTCCCAACACTTCTGAGAGTAGGAACAAGTTAATTGCTTAACTTTTTATGTAGCAGCTATCAGGGTTACATGTCTATTTTACTGGGACATTTTGACACCATGGCAAAGCGGGAAGGTACAGGACCTAGAAATGAGACACCATAGTTTTTGGTCTAACCAAGTCCTGCCACTGGGGTGACCTTTCCTTTAGTGAGGCCTGCTGGTGTGTCTGGATGTGGTGACCATCACTCAAGTTCACACCATTGATTTGTACCATGCACTGGGAAACCTCCAAAACTGTCCTAACAACATCTTAAACTTGAGGAAGGGGAAGTTTTTTCCCCCAGGCCAGTGCAGATCCCAACCATCCACTTGCTGGGATGCAAGCTGGAGAGCTAAGTGCAGAAGGCACGAAGACCCCCACAGTGCTGGGAGTCCAGGCAGAGCCTCCAGCAATACAGATTGCTATTTTGCATTCTCCCTGTGAATGCGTACATAACAAGGACCGTCCCAGAGATCCACAGGGACCAGGACCCTCCATCTGCTGAGACTATTGGCAAAAAGAACCTACTTTCTAGGTAGCAAAGCAGGTGTGCTAACTCTTCATGCCCATAAATGTGCTGGCCGTGACACACCATGCGTGCACAATCCAGGGTTCCTCATTCTTCATGTGTGACTGCTTCCTGCCCATATCCACGGGAGGGAAACCCGCAAAGGATGCAGGCAAACACACAGTGCTTGCCCGCAGCAGCCCATCCCAGGAAAACAAGATTTGGAGGCTGAATATGAAGATGTCACCTGCCTATATCAACTTTGTACAGGTGGGGGCTATGATACTCTTGGAATGGACGAGTCAGATATGCAACAAGAAGAATCAGACTTCGAGGCACATCGTGGGATGGCTGGCGACGTTAAGATAAGCTGTCTTGGATGAGAGACCATGGACTTCTGCCACCACTAAAACAGGTGTTGCCTACTATTTTTATGAACTCTGTAGTTCTGCCTTCTCTTTCTCCCCTCTGTGAAAAGCAAGTGTCTCTCCAAGGACCCCTGGCATCTCCTTACCGCCACCATGGCTTGGATCTTCACACCAGCCTCCTTGACAGCTGTGTAGCGCTTGTTCAGGTTGACCATCCTTCCATCCAAGTCCAACAGGGCGTCCTTTTTGTTGTCCTTCCTTTCAAACAAGGGGTTGGCTGACCAGTCCTGGAAGGAAATGGTGGGAGTGAGGATGGCTGGTTTGGAAAGCAGGCTTGGTCTCGCTTCTTCTCAGCTTGCTCTGGCTCTTCAGTGTGGGTCTCCTCTTCCCTTGAGGATCTCGGACTGGAGCTGAATTCTTTGTGACCTGTGTGCACCGGGGTCCCAGCACCTCTGTTTAACTTCTTGAGAAAATTACCCAAGGGAATAAGTATACCATTCAAATGAAAACTGAATCCACTGGTGAGAAAATCTCAGTGGGTGATAATGGAATGCATGTGACAGAAGTGTCACAGCAAACAGGCCAGAGGATTCTTGAAATAAGAGACGTGCTCCAGTGAACACATCAATAAACAAGGCGGTAACAGTTGTAACTTATTTCCTTCCGGGGCTCTCGGGGAGAGTGGTGGCATGTGGCATAATCTGAAGTACCATGTTAGTGGCAGCTGTAGTGGGGCTCGTGGGAAACCATAATGATTTAACCTTGCTGTGTTCAAGAAATAGCTTAAACCTGGTCACTTAAATATATAACAGTTACACCGTGGACAGTGCAAAATTAACAGGAAGGGGGATTTTCAAAGACTTCCTTTTAGATGTATTGCTGTGAGAGCTTTTGCATATTAGGGTCATTAACAAAGCATGGGGAAAACTAGGGAAGGAGTGTCATTGTCTGTCCGTCTGTTCCCTCTACCATGCTCTGGAAGGGGCTTGAGGTAAAAGAAGTGCCCTGCTTTTGTACTAAGCAACAGGCCCATTTCCTGGAGGGCTGAGCCTCAGCTGATTTCTTTCTGCCCCTTATTCCTAGCAACAGCCTGGCACGGACTAGGTTTTGCACACACATCTGCTGAGCTCAAAGAATGAATTCTACAGTGACTGGGCTGACATCATTGTTTCTGACCAGTGCATTAGATGGCAGCTCCCATGGCCACCTGTCACGTAGCAGCACCTGCCAGGAGCCTCTCTCCGTGGCCTCATTTGCCTCAGGAGCAAATGAGCTCTCTGAAGCCCTGCTCTGACTTCTGTAGCTCACTCACCCTCATGGCCTGGGTGATCCCTTCTACATTTTGCTTGGCTTTCTGTATTCTGTTCTGCAAGTTATGTAGGATTTCTCGCATCTCTTGAATATACTGAAACACACCTGGAATATAAGCATAAGCATAAGGGAATTTTACCCAAGGAACAACTCAGCCAGATGAAGATGCTTTTTGGGTTGGCACAGTGCTCAATTTTGGGATCAGCTCCTGGGAAAAACGGCCCCTCTTCTAAAACATGAACCAGAAGAAATTGTGAATTGCTTGAAATAAAATGCCAAGGAACTCAGTAGGACTTCCCCATCTCCAAATGTATGGACCCGTTAATCCCCCAGGAGGCCCGGACTCCTGAAGTCAAAGCTCCCTTCCTCCTAGAGCCCTAAGGCCTCTAACCACAAACAGAACGCTGGAGAGATCAGAGCTCGTACAGTGCTGTCAGGGGCTGGAGGAGCTGAAGAGCCGTGGTCTTGGGCACAGTGGGCGGAAAGAAGGATGACCTCCTTACACGGAAAAATCAGGACTGACCTTGATTTCACAGACATAACATTTGGCTCCACCTTCTCATTTAGACTGTGGCTTCAGGGGCTGAAGAAGTGGCAAAAGGCACAATGAAGGTCTCATAGGGATGGGAGCAAAGTGGGGTGCCCATTGGGACCTGGGGGATGGAAATGGGGGCGGTCCGGGTCTTTCGCCTGGTCTGGTTTTGGAATGGAGGAAGGGAGCCTCACGACTACTCTCCTCCCACTTGTCCAGCATCCATCTGAGTCAGCTGAGACAGGCATTTGCCTTGTGGACTTGCTGAGCACATATGGTAGGAAACAAGCAAGGCCAGACTCCAGGGACCCCAGTTTGGAAACCCTGGGACCCCTCGGCAGCCCAAGGAGTCTCCCCTGATTCTGTGTGTAAGTAACACAGATGGGTACTTTCCTGACTGGGCAAACAGGTACAACTGCCCTTTGACTTTAAACCTGACACTACAGCAGCTAAAGCAGCCATGCAAAGCCAAGGGCAGAAGTGGCCCCTCCAGGCGGGGGGCTGAGGACAGGGAGTGGGCAGGTTGGACCCCCCCAGGTTGAACCCCTTTCCTATGAAGTTAGCCTTGATACCTTCACCATTCCAGAACAAGGTTGTTTCTGCACTTAATAATTTGACATCGATCTCTTCTAATTCTGACTTTATTAGTGGAAATTCGACGTCCATCACAGTTCTCTTTATCTGAAAAACAAAGGCTACACAGTGTCAGGGTTTTGTCCCAAATCTAGATTTTAAAATGTTAAGGATTTAACAATGGTAAGGGTTATTATTACCAAACTGGTTATAACTAGTGTTATTTGGGAATTATATATACATTGTATTTCAAGAGACTCTGACTTTTAAAATGATTTAATCATGAAGGGTTTATGTACGTACTTAGTTCTTCATTATCCATGTTGTGGGGTAGTATGAAAACAGTGAGTGGATAGCCCCAAACTTTTGTATTTTGGAGTCATAGAAGAAGAATCAAGAATGTACACGTGAATAAGTGAAGTGTCCCTGGACTCAGAACCTCTGCTTGGTCACAGATCTAGAGCCAGAAATCTAGTTATATGGGGACCCAGGATCTGCAGAGAAGCTGTTCACATGGTTAGCAGACAGGCTGATGCCAGCACAGGGCCTGTGCCATTTCTGCCCTTCTCCAAGAAACTAATACTTGGCGACTTGAATTCACAAAAAGGAAAAACAAAACAAACAAACAAATGAGGACTGGGAGGGTGTGTGGCATTTCTATAAATCGTTCCCTTAAATAGCAAGTGCCATTTGAACTTTGGAACACTACGTCAACTGTCAACATTTTGCTTTATACGTCACTTTGAAGGACACGTCTACAGGAAGAGAGAGATTACGGGGCGTTAACACAGGACATTAGACTCCGTGTTTCGCTTTGCAGAACAATTTTCTGCATACAGCCCACCCCACCCCGCCCCACCCCAGGCTTCAAATGTTTTCGACCTTGAACTTGCGGCGGATAAAGGCAGACAAATGGGCTCACAGTTGGCTGCCCACTGAAAACCGGGCGGAAACAGGGAGCCATGAAAGTATAGAGCAGGACAGCGTGGGCAGGACCCACTGACCAGGGTCTGTTCAAGGTCAGTGGCAACTCCCAGTGACGGCCCCTTGCTTTGAGGATGTGAGATAATGTCATAAGGAGCCTCTCGGGTGTGTTTGTAAGCACAGCACTGTGAGCCGAGCCCATGGGAGGCCTGCATAGGAATCTGTCTGGGTTTCTGAGAGTGGACCACGGACAGAGATGGTGGGGCCACTGGTCATCCCTCTAAACTGGAGGGGACACCATCTGATGCCATGCCCTGGGGACCCGTGCTCTACAGCCCAGGCTACCCACTTCCTTATGTATCCTGCTTTCAGCAGCAGTGTGACCTGGGGAGCAAACACACCCAAAAGGCTGCTCAGACATTCTGGGAGGCTCCTCAAAGACCGGCATCCACTTTGGCTTAGCTCAGACAGACGTTAATAGTTTGGCGGGTTGGAGGTCGGTGGTCTCTCAGCTGAAGAGACCACTGGATGAATAAGATCCATAGCGGTAGCAAACACTGCTGGGGGAGCTCCCCTCGGGCTGCCTTTCCTCCTCACTCCTCACCCTGGCTGCCAGGGTTATTAATAGCACCCCAGGGTCCGATTCGACACTGTGGGCTTGGCTAGCAGTGGAAGGTCAATTCTTTTTCTTTTTTTCACAGTACTAGGGTTTGAACTCAGGGCCTACACCTTGAGCCATTCCACCAGATCTTTTTGTGATGGGTATTTTTGAGATAGGGCCTCACAGAACTATTTGCTCAGGCTGGCTTTGAACCAGGATCCTCCTGATCTCTGCCTCCTGAGTAGCTAGGATTACAGGCGTGATCCACCAACGCCCGGCTAGGTCAATTCTTTGAACTACTATTTGTTGGCTTTGTTTTTTCTGATTACATGGTCACTGCAGAAGAGCTTTCACACTAGAAGCAGCCCATACATGGTTTTTCCACCTGCTACATCTCTACAGCTTCTGCTTTCTCTGAACACAGTGCTGGAGCTGTTGGAAGTAAATGATTCTGAAGAAAGTGGGTTCCAGTAATCCATAAAACGGGCACTGGTGTAATGCAAACAGGCAAGTCAATTAAGTTTTTAGCTTGATGAATGAAATCAACAAAACAACAAGCTTTCCTTATGCGGAACTCATTCGAGTTTACATTTCAGCCAAAGTTGGCTCTTTGGTAGTTGCAGGGAGGGGGTGTGTGTGATGTTTTTGACCAATCCGTGTGATAGCCAAACCCAAGACACCTCATTTTACCTCTGGTGTTCACAGACACTCGTGAGGGATGTCACCAGAGCAGAAGGTAGCCCAGTGTCCCTGTGGCCTCACCCTGAATCTTTCCATATTCCAGGCCTTCTCTCCAGTGTATCTAAGGTGATATTGGATGGCTGGGTGTGGTCAATGCCATCCCCTCCGTGAGTCCTCCGAGATAGAGACGCTCTTTGACTCACAGTGTTGCTACTGCCATTCTTGCTGTCACAGGGGAAGGCAAATGACATAGCTCCACTTGTTACTGCAGTTCAGGCAGGACTTCATAAGGGGACAGCAGGAGAGGGACAGGAGGCAGAAGGAGCTGACTCTCTGGTCACAATGTAAGTGGAACCAGCAGAACAATGCACCAAGTCTAGAGAAGGGAGTAGAGCCTGACCTGTAGGTGCCGGTAGAAGGGCCCCCCACAACAGGAATCCAGGGTGTACTCCTCCGTTGGACAACTGACACACGAAACATGGAAACAAATACTCCCAGAGAGCTGATCCAGTTGGGTGAGAGCTGGCTGCAAGAAATGCAAGCCCAACAGAGGCACTCAAGCTACCTGGTGTCGTGCTGAACAGTGAGGGCACAGATGTGAGACCTCACCAACATCGATGCACCTGAGGACCATAGGGACTCCGCTGGAAAGTCCCCATGAGAGCTCCTGCTCTGAGGCCTCCACTCCACTCTCCTGCTGCCTCTCCTTGTCCTGCTTTTGGTTTCTTTGATTACCCATGTGAATGAGGGCTGTGCCTTGCAGCCTGTGGCCACCAGCCTCCTCTGGACACATCTTCTCTTAGACCCAATTCCAAATTCGCTGGAGTCCCAGGAGAGGAGATCTTTTTGGCCCCTTTTGGATGAGGTGTGTGTGGTAGCCAGATGACGGCTCCCCAGAGATGCCCCCATGAGGCGCTGGTAGTATAGTGGTGAGCACAGCTGCCTTCCCAGAGATGTCCCCATCCTAATCTTTAGAGGCGATGGACATGTTACCTTGCCTGTCAAAGGGAAGATTAATCTTGATCTTGGTAGGATCTGGACGAGGCAGATTATCTGGGTGGGCTGAGTTACGGGGGCAGCAAATGTAATCCCAAGAATCCTCATAAGAAGGAAGCCAAAAAGGTGAAAGGAGGAGGCAGTCGTGATACCAGAGCAGATGTTGGAGTGATGTGCCTGAGGATGGAAGAGGCAGCTCTGCTTGTTAATTTATGTCATCCCGACTGTGCCACGGGTGCCAGGGTTAAACATTGCTTCTGGTGTTAGTGGATGAGATGGTATTTGAATGGGTGGACTCAGGTCAGCAGAGTGCCCTCTGTTGTGTGAGTGGGCCTCATTGAATCCCTGGAGGGCATTGGTGACACAAAAGTGGGAGGTGGCAGGAATTTGTCCCCTTTTCCTGGCTCCCTGATGATTTAGGACATCTCGTCTCTTCTCTTGCCACCAGACTGGGATTTATACCATCTGCTCCCCTGATTCTCAGGCTTTGGACTCTGAGTTACCGTCTGGACTGCCTGGGTCACCAGCTTGTACATGGCAGGCCATGGAACTTCCCAACTTCCAAACTGCATGAAGCAATTCTTTGCAATAAATCTCCATCTATTTCTCCATTTTCTATTGGTTCTGTTCCCCTGGAGAACCCTGACTGACAGAGGCCATTTAGCTAAGGAATGCGACAGCTTTTAGAAACAGGAGATGCCAAGAAGGCAGATCCTGACCTAGAGCTCCCAGCCCAGCGGCACCTGCACGTCTGCAGGGGAGGCCTGTGGACTCTTGACCCCCATGACAATAGGTCTCTGTCACTTAAAGCAACTTGGTGTGTGGTGCTGTATCATGGCAGCAGTGGAGAACCCACTCAGTGTCCATACCTGACCCTCCTGGTTCAAGATAGGGTAGCACCAGCAGTCCCTTGTGTCAGTCAGCTTTTTCATCACTGACCAAATGCCTGAGAAAACAACTTAAAGGAGGAAAGGTCTGTGTTAGCCCTCAGTTTCCAAGGTTTCAGTCCAGGGGAGGCCCAGCTTCTTTCAGATCTGTGATGAGGCAGAACATCATGGTGGCAGAGCATGAGGCAGAGGAAGTAGCTCACCTCATGGCAACCAGGAAGCAAAGAGACAGAGGGAGGAAGGTGATGGAGTCCCAATATTGCCTCCAAGGTCAAGTCCCCATGACCTAACTTCCTCCCACTAGGTCCCACCTCCTAAGGATTCCACGCCACCAAGCCTTCAACACATGGCCTTTGGGGCCATTTGAGATAAACCGTGACATCACCTCTTTCCCATCTGTGGATGGGGTCTGTAAGACGGGTGCCTGGAAGGAGAACAGGCTTATATCTGCCCACTGCCCCATGCCCACTTTTTCCAGGTCCCCTCTTATTGCCAGTGGATCCCAGGTTCTCCTGCCAGGACAGAGGCACTCTGAGTGAACAGGCCTGTCACTAGAAGGTACTGTCCCCAAGGCTAGTCAATTGCAGGGCCTCTCATCTACAATCAGCCTCTTTGCGATTGGAGTGTCAGGTCCTCGGGTCATATCAACATCAAGGAGTTCTCGAGCCACAGCGCTGAGGGTGGACAGCCACCTCTCTAGGCACCTCCCACACAGCTTCTTCACTATAGGAGGCTGGAAGATTTGCAGTCCTAGCCAGGCTTCCAGGAAGCGCCCCTGCCTGAAGACCCTGACTTCAGTGGGAATAATGGAGGTGAATATGGAATGGCTTTGATGCTATCCAAATTGTGTGTAGGAAGCGAAGAATGTAAACATGAGCCCAGTCTCAGTTCTTCATGTCACCGCCTCTGCTGTGGCGTGAATGACGAAGACTGGCTTGAGCCACTTTTGAGTCTACGTGGGGATCTTACGCCACCGTTTGTTCTCAGCAACACCCGAAACTTGGAAAGCAAAATAAAATGAAATGACATCAACTCACCTCATTATACCAGCCAACGATGAGTTCCAAGTTGCCCACAAATTTCCGGAAGGTTTCGTTCTCTGAGAACAGACTCTCTGCACTGCCTGGAATCTCTTTTTGCTGCTGGAAATTCAAGTACTTGACTTCTCTCAGGACTGCCACCAGCTAAATGGTAACGGAGGTCAAAGCACAGGTCAGAAGGTGACCTCAGAAACAGAACGCTGCCTGCCCTGGGTGTTTTCCTGGTTGAAGGATTTCAAAGTTTGTGGGAGACAGGTTCAGGGTGTCCTCACCCTGCTTGCTGGTCCTGAGCCAGAAAACACTGACATCACCATCATGGGATGGATGATGTCATCGTCATTTTCTCATCTCCATCCACTTCCCGGCCCCCCACCCCCAGGCTGTATGGAGAAGGCTCTATCGGGGCTTCATGGGGCTCCCTCTCCTCCCATTGGCTATGCAATCCCCAGCAACAGCAGGAGCCATGCTCCCAAGACTGCTTCATCCCCAAAGCTGTTCCCCTTAAGATCTCAGTAACCTCTATGTTGCTGAGTCCCTTGTCATGTCATGTGACCTCCCTGAAGGTCATGCCACCTCCTGGGCATCTGGGCTCCTCTTGGCTTCTAGGACACCCAATTGTCCTGGTCACTGTTTCCAGTCCTTTTTTTTTTTTTTTTAAGGGGAGAGTGCAAACACAGTCCCCCACTACCACAAATTATGTGGTCAAGTTTCCCACATTTGGGGACATCACAGGGGTCAGCACATCCGAGTGCAATGGCTGAGCTTCGCACTGGGAAAACCACCTTCGCGATCGTGGTGTCTCCTCGCCAGGTAAGTATTCCAGTCTTTTTTGATAATCTTGGGATTTCCATGTTGGAGAACCAGAGCTTGGTCCTCCTCATTTCACTCTCAATTGCATGAGGCTCGTTCTCCTCCGATGTCACGGCTTGTGTCCCTTCCGTGTGTGGATGACTCCTGCATTTACTACTCCAACCTCAGCATCTCTCTGGACCTCCAGACCCTCATTGCCTCCTGCCCACTCAACATCTCCACTTGTATGTCTAGTTGATAGTCGGACAACATGGCCAAACAGAGTGTCAACATTCCCCTGTGGCCTGCTCACCCGCCCCCTCCAGTGCATGTCAGCCCCCCAAAAGCATGAAGGCTGACTCTTCTTCCTCTTGTTTTCCATTTCTAATCCACCCAGAATCTCACTGGAACCATGATTACAATCTAATCACCCCTCATCGCTGCCACTCCAACCCAAGCCCCACCCTCCAGACCATCTTTGCTCACCTGGATTGTAGGCCCCTCACTGGTCTTTGTGCTCCTAACCCTCCCCCACCCCCATAGAAAAGGGATCCTTTACAGATACATCAAGACTCTCCTTTGTCTGAGGAACCCTGCCATGGGCGCCATCTTGCTCAACTCAAAAACCCAGTTCTATAGATGGCCCCAGCAACTCTTCTCTGTCCATCTCCACTTTGACACCCACCATGCTCCTGCCATGGCCAGGCATGTTGTTCTCTCCATCTCTTCTTGCCCACTCCCTGACTTCCTGAAAGCTGTGGGTCTAACATTGCCCCCTTCCTCCAGCTCCATTGCCCGCCTGGCCTGTTCTTTGTCCTGAGGAATCAGCTGTCATCTTCTGACTTCTTTGTTTGTACTAGTTTGGTCACCCTCTTGTTCTTCTCTCTCTCCGTCCCTCCCTCTTCCTCCCAGGGATAAGCTCCAGGAGGGCAGAACAAAAGCCTTAGAAGCTGTGTTCACGAGTTCATTCCAAGCACATGCACAGAGTAGGTGCTCAGTAAATATTAATGAATGAATGAAAGAATGAGTTTTAGTGAAAGGGAAGTATTCCAAGGGAAAGTCACACCTCTGTCTTTGTGCCTTCCGGTATCCCCGCCCCCTCAGACAGGACAGGTCATAAGGGAGTGCTTGTAGCAATTGAGCCCCACTCCTGCTTCTGTCCTCTGTGTGCATCTAAGCCATCCAGATTCAGCTCTGGAGCACACTGCCCAGCCCTGTGAGTTCTCTCCAGCTCACCCTCCTTGGCCAGCCAGCCCATAACAGATACCTATTAACTGCTTTTGCTGAAAAGCACTGACTCCTCACTTGGGCCTACAGATGTCCAAAGGAGAGCTGAAACGAAGAAAATCTTGGCATCCCTGTCTCTGTTTTGAAACTCTTTGCTCTGAGCCGTTCTCTCTACAGTCACCTTGCAGCCATCTTAGAATCCAGGAAGGACAGGACTGATGAGTTGAAATTGCCCCCAGACCACAATGCCTTTCTTATGGTGATCAGGCCCTACCTGACAATCCTGAGACGATGATAAACCAGACCACATGTGTGACAGGTCTGTTTAATAACCGTGCGTACCCCATTTGTCCTCTACTTAATCCTAAAGTTCTTGTCTGTGTCCCAAAGATGGGCTGAAGTGTTGACTTTGCCTCTTATTGTGGCGAGCCCAGCCGTGTAAAAAACCTCTTCATTTGCCCTTCACCACTATTTGTCTCTTTATTTGGTGTATAAGGGTGAGTGGCCAGACTTGATGTGTGGAACACCTGGTGTTGGGCCTCTGGCCTAGAACTCCAGTTACAAACCCACCTCTCTAGGTCCTTCCTTCCTTCCTTCCTTCCTTCCTTCCTTCCTTCCTTCCTTCCTTCTCCTTCCTTCCTTCCTTCTCCTTCCTTCCTTCCTTCTCCTTCCTTCCTTCCTTCCTTCTCCTTCCTTCCTTCCTTCTCCTTCCTTCCTTCCTTCCTTCTCCTTCCTTCCTTCTCCTTCCTTCCTTCCTTCCTTCTCCTTCCTTCCTTCCTTCCTTCTCCTTCCTTCCTTCCTTCTCCTTCCTTCCTTCCTTCCTTCCTTCTCCTTCCTTCCTTCCTTCTCCTTCCTTCCTTCTCCTTCCTTCCTTCCTTCCTTCTCCTTCCTTCCTTCCTTCCTTCCTTCCTTCCTTCTTCCTTCTCTTCCTTCCTTCTCCTTCCTTCCTTCCTTCTTCCTTCCTTCCTTCCTTCCTTCCTTCTCCTTCCTTCCTTCCTTCCTTCCTTCCTTCCTTCCTTCCTTCCTTCCTTCCTTCCTTCCTTCCTTCCTTCCTTCCTTCCTTCCTTCCTTCCTTCCTTCCTTCCTTCCTTCCTTCCTTCCTTCCTTCCTTCCTTCCTTCCTTCCTTCCTTCCTTCCTTCCTTCCTCCCTCCTTCCCTCCCTCCATGCCAGGGATAAAAACCAGGGCACTATGCACAGTCAGCAAATACTCTACCACTGAGCTACCACTCAGCCCTTGAAGCTGTTTCCTGGGGTGCTAATGTTCTCCCCATATCCTAAATATCTCCTGGACTGCTTAAAAAACAAAGCCAAGGCTCCCTGTGACACACACAGGGACCTCCACAAACATGCTGTTGGTGGAACAGGTCCAGGGTGGCCCATTTCTTCCCTCTCTCACCTGACTCCCAGGTATGCCATCCATCCCTCAGCCTGCCCTGGGACCCACCGCCTTGCTGAAGTTGACTTGGATGAGGCCGGTGATGGTATCCCGCTGGATCAATGGCTGGCCCAGGTTGAAATGGCAGTCCTCGTCTACTCTCTCCACCCACTGCTGGTAGATCTTCTTGCGGTAGTTTTTCAGTAGCTCCATCATCTCATCGTATTTCTGGTAGGTCAGCTTGGCCTCCTCACTGGACATGACCCTGGATCAGAGTTGGGTGGAGCAGTAAGGCACCAACCTTCACCCTGACATTTTCAGATTTTCTTTTAGCACCCACAACTGCCATTGTCAGACCTCAGCAGGCAGCCAGCAACCTTTTTCTTCCAGACTGATAGGACAACTGTGCAATGGATGATAAAATAGAACTGTGACCCCTTAATCTGTGACAGGCAGCCTAAGACGCTACCCATAAACTGAAGCAAGCAGCCAGAGTGGCTCTGCACACACTCACTGAAAAGCCTCCAGGGAGCCAGCCTAATGCCCGGGGCTGCAAGGCTGTGATGGACCCTCCCTTCCCGGAGGTTGACCTGAGCTACCCGTGGACCCTCCCTGGCCTGGGACTTACGGGTGCTCAATGTACTTCAGGTGCTTCATGGACACCTCCAGCCTCTCCTGCAGCTCCAGGCTCCACTTGAGCTGCCCGGCCACGGGGGGCATGTTTTTGTGGATTGGTGGGATGGTGCCCACTGCAGAGGCTGCCATCTGGGCATCGTACAAGAGCTTGGCATTGTCCAGCTCCTTATCGAGCAGTTCCAGCATGACTGAGTACCTGGGCACCACCTCGGCAAGAATCAGAGGCCGCTCCAGTAGGCCTCCACACATGTACAAGAGCTGGGGAGACATGGGGGAAGCCCATCTTTGCCAGAGGTCCTGTTGGCTTGTGCCCATCCCGGGCTGTTACCAAAACAGGGAGGGTTCAACTCATTCGAACCTCTCTTTGTCTGGCAAATGGCTAAATGATGCTTGTGTGGTTCCCAAGTTGCTGTATGACAAGGCTAAAGCACCTCCTGTAAACCGGTAGGGCTAACTAGGTCTGGTCTAGGAGGATTTATTTCAGGCCCAGGAGAAGTGAGGATGTGGGCAAGGAAGATCTGAACAATCAAAAAGCACAGTAAAGCAACAGCAAAATAGCCACAGGACTGGGTGAGTGAATATCTGTTCCTCAGGGACCCCATCTAGCTTCTACCCTGCCTACCTGCTCCTCCCAGAGAAGGGTCTGAAACACGGGACACTGCTCCCAGAGGTGGGCACTGCCTCCACCAGACTCCTTCCATGGCCAGGGAAACAGCAGCACAGAGTTGTGGCCTCCCAGCAAGGGCTCAGCCCCCACCTCCAGGTGCTCCTTATCTGTCCCTCCCCTTGTTCCAAATCAGATTTATGGGGCAACACCTCTGTGTTGCCCTGGCCAGGTGACCACTACTGGGCTCTTCTGATTTTCCTGAGCCTGTCTCATCCTCTACACATGACTCCTGGGTTGAGAGACACCCAGGAGATTAGTAAAGCACACCTCTGGGTGTATCTGGGAGACAATTAACCAAGGGAGGACCTGCCCTGAATGTGGGTGGCATCACCTTTTAAGACTGGGGCCTGGATGGAGCAAAAGGGGAGGAAGTCACTGGTGCAGCATGCTCTCTATCCACTTCCTGTCGGCGGGGCGGCAGGAGGAGCTGCTCTACCTTGCTGATCCCCATGCTCCCTGCCGTGCTCTTTACTCTCACCTTAGGCCCAAAGCAACAGGAGCTAGCCAAGCAAGGACTGAAAACTTTGAAACTCTGAACCAAAATAAGTCTTCCTCCTTTCAAGTTGTTCTCTGGGTTATTTGCCACAGACAGGGAAAACCAATCAATACCGTATTCTGGGGGTCCCAGCCATGGTAAGGGCTCCAAGAGGCAACAGGCCAGCAATCTGGCCAACCCAATGCTCTCCCTCACACCTGGCCTTATAACTGGAGACCAAATCATTGGGGTCTCCAAATTAAAGAACTGAAGCTTTGTGTCAACAGCCCATCAGGGTTCCACGCCAAAGCACTACACCAGCACAAAGCCATCTCCTGCAATGTCCCAAGTAACCAATTTCCCTCAGCTACGGCCACTTCTGTCCCACAGTGAAAGCTCAAAAGCTCCTACTCTGTTTTGGGCTAGGTCCTAAGTGAATCCAAATCACACGCCTCCTGGTTGGGAGGGCAATGAAACAGGCCAACGAAGCCCAGTAGAACACCAGGGAGGACTGAGCCAAGAAGAAACGCCCATCAACCCAACCGGGGAAGGGAGGAGAACACGGGGAGCGGGGAGAAGCTGCCACGTAGGGAGGAGGAGGGAGGCCTCTGTGGCCAGATGGCATTTGAATGCAAGTAAGTAAAGGAGGACTTCTCTGGGGAAGAGCGTTCCATGCAGGGAACACTGACAAAAATTCTGGGCTTGGCCAAACTCAAGTCAGGCTTCTGACCCCTCCTAGGCCACCCGTGTACATCCTTGTGACATCCAGTGTTAGCCAAGTTAAATTAGCAAGAAGCCCCCTTTGACATATGGCTGGGCTCCTCACCCCCACCGCCCTCAGGTGGCCTCTGCTCCTCCTGGCCTGGTTCCAGCAAGAATCCTGCTGGGCTGGTTTAGCGAAAACCCCCCTGACCCTTGTTTCTGTCCATCCCCTGCCTCTGTCTGCCCCTTAGCTGTTGATCCCACTCTCCCAGGCTGTCCTCAGAGTGGAGGACCCCCACTGCAATGGCCCTGTCCCTAACACAATCGTCCTGAATAAAGTCTGCCTTACTATGCTTTAACGAGCATTAACTGGCTCAGTTTTTCTTTAGCCACAGCAAGGAGGCGCTGCATGAATTTGCATTCATTGATATTTGGCCTGGAGTGCCAACTGAGCCAAGACTGACTTGTTGGTATAGCTTCAAGTGCCTGCACGTGTGCACTTTTAAAAATAATGCTTAAAAGGCAAAGGAATACCCTAGCATTTGCTTCGGAGAGATCTTTGGGCTCAGCAGGAGGGCCGGGGGGCAGGGTTTCCTGGATCCCCAGTTCATTCCCAGGAAGTCCAGCTCTGGCATCTTCCAGAAAGATGACTACCACCCTGGCCACCATGGTTGCCTTCAAGGTCATGGGAGCCTGTCCATCTGAGTGGTTCCAAAAAGGGGCATTGGACACAGTGGAACTCAGAGCTGGCCTGGGATTCTGGTTCCTCCACTTGCTGACTAGCTGTGTGACCAGGAGCAGGTTTCTTGACCTGTCTGAGAAGGTAACATGGGGGTGGGGAGCAATAACAGGCGAGAGCTTAGCAAAGAGCCTGTTTGGGAATTCCATGAGCTATCATCTTCCTGGGCCCTAAGACCCTGCCATCGTTTCTGGGCCTCTCCCATGGGCATCACAGCATCCGAGGGAACTCCAGGCTTACAAAGTGAGGGGGAGATGGGCTCTGAGTTTCACAGCGGGCAGATGCAAATAAAACTAAGCAGAGACAGAAAAACAGGCTAGCCAAGCATTTATCCTCTCAGGGCAGGACACCTGTTCTCCAGAGATACTCCAACCACACACACCAAGGCCTGTATCAGCCCCTGGTCCAGCCAGGCTGGTCCCAAAAATGCATGAAATGGGCTAGACTGGAATGATAAGGAGTGGTGGGACCTGGAGCAGATGGGGCCACTCAGGTCTGTAGGGGCCACTTGCTTCAGAACTGGTATGAAGGGCACTCAACACTGCAGACATTTGAGGTTCAGGAGATGCGGGAAGAAGCCTTTCCCTGCTCCCTGTCTGACTAAATCAGAGCTGCCATAGCCCCCTCTGCAGGGAGTCTAACCACCGCCTCTCCCGCAGCACAAACATCATCCCCAGCTGGCCTGCTCCCCAGAGGCCCATTTGCCTTTCCTTAAGGAAAAGCCCCTCCTGCCTTGCAGCAGCCTGTCCCCCGTTCCTCTTCTAAGTTGACGACCTCAGCTGCTCTCCAGCATTTCAGACAACCTCTTCCTTAGTCTTGTACACCTGCAGTGGCCTTGTCAATTGGACCCTTAGTTCATTTGCAGGCCCCCAACCATGTGAACCGAGATGACGGAGGACAAACTCTCTACCCAGCCTTCTTTCTACAGGGATCAGCAACGGCTCTGACGTCAGCCACTTACTGCCCTGGTCCTTGCCTTTTTCTGACTATTCGTGAAGTCAAACTTAAGATATCTCTGTGTATTGGTTGTTTGTGTTTTTCTTTGATTGGTGCTTTTCTATGGTACTTTTCTCAAGCTCGGGCTGGCCTCAAACTCACAGTCCTCCTGCCTCCCAAGTGCTGGGATTACAGGCATGCGCAACCACACCTGACTCTCTATGACCTGTTTTTATAGTGCTCTTTTTATAACAACATTTACCTTTCGTAATGATAAAAGCCCAATCCACTTAATGCACAGAACCTGGACATCATAGAAGAGAACACTGAGGATGGAGAAATACTAGCACAAACCCCACTACCCAGAGAGAACTCCTGTTAGCAATAGGATGTTTACCCGGATGAATGCTTTTGTCGTGCATGTTTGTGTCACCCTAACCCTAAAGATGGGCGATGGTGGTAGGAGGCGGGACCTCTGGGGGAGGGAGAGCTTGTTTGTGCTCTCTGTCCCCCCAGTGAATAGACACAAGGAGACGACGGCCACCTGCGTGCTAGGAGGCAGGCTTGCCGGTACCTTCATAACAGGTACTTAGAAATTGCTTTTGTTTGCTGGGCAAGGTGGCTCACAGCTATAAGCCCAGCTACTTAGGAGGCAGAAAGGGGGAAGAGTTCAGTTAGAGGCCAAATGGGGCAAAAAGTTTACGAGACCCATCTCAACAAATAAGCCAGGTGTGGTGGAGCACACCTACAACCCCAGCTATGTGGGAGGCCATAGCTCCCACTATGTGCACTATGTGCACTAATTTTTGCACTATGTGCAAAAATTAACTTGAAGTGAAAAGTGCTGGAGGCATGCCTCAGGTGGTAGTGCTTCCCTAGTAAGCGTAAGACCCTGAGTTCAAATCCTAGTTCAAACAACAACAAGACAAAACAAAAATCCCAAACTGCTTTTGCTGAAAAGCACTGGTTCCTGACTCCTCGCTTGAGCCTGTACATGTCCAAAGAGGACCTAGAAGCAGGAGAACAGCCTGGCATCTCTGCCTCCATGTTGTGTCTGTCTCCTTTGCTCTGAGTCTCCCTCCTGCACTCACCTGGGGTTCCAGGAAGGACAGGACTGATGATGACATCTGTATGACAAGGGACAGAAACTACTCCCCAAGGAAAGGAACATCAGAGCTGTCACAGCACAGACCACCCCCAAATGAGGACCAGCCACTGTAATGAGGAGGCTGTACTCTGGAGCAAGAGGAATCATCTATGGGGACAAAAGTGCCCCCCTCAAGTGATGACAGTGATAACAAATCCAGGTTCCCTGCTAATGACCATCCAGGCCACACTTTGCACACCTCTTCCCCTACCCTGATTCTTCTTCTGTTTAAACCTACAGCTCACATTTGTACCAAAGAAGATGAGCGGAAGTGCTGACCCTCCCTTCCCGCAGCATCCTTGCCTGTGCCATGTAACAAACGTCTTTTCTCTGCCCTTCGCCACTGGTCTATCAGGTCACAGGACCTGATGTGTGGAACCCCTGGGGCCAAAAACCGAGCTACACTTTGATCTCTGTGTAGCTTTCATTCCTTCTAGGTGGCGGGGACACTGAGTCAGAGGAGGATAAATGGACACTTTTAAACTGAGCTTCCCAGCCGCTTTCTTCTGTTCCTCTGAGATGCCAGACACACTCGGGGTGCTCCCTGCTGCCCCATGCTGAGGCGTGGGCTCCCTCGGCCCAGCTCAGCTAAGTGAAGGTGTCTGGTGCATCCCTAGGACCTGCCAGAACTGGCACCGCTGCTACGGACACTTGGTCAGCTCGCTCACCTTTGCTGAGGACTCGATGGAGTTGCAGTCATCGAAGGCTTGGCAGAAGATCGTGGCCAGCCGCCTGTCCAGATCTTGAATTTTGATCTCAAAGTCAGTGTAATCATTGTCAAAACTCTAAAAGTAAATGAAATGTCGTGAACATGACAGGCAGGGCAGGCGGTCGCTGTAAAGCCTCCACCAGACTGGACGGTGTCAGGGTTGAGCCTAAGTGAATCCCCGGGCTGGGGTATCTCAGTGCTTCCTCGCCCCGCCTTCGCCAGTCCACGCAGGACTTCCTTACCAAGTCTCCGGGGTCCAGAGGGTCATATTTGCACTCAGCAAAGACCTTCACCCGCTCGAAGACCTCGTCGTAAATCTGCGTCACCAGGTTCCCGAGGACATTGCCTCGAATTCCCCCCATCTCGATTTTCTCCAGCTTCAGAAACTCAACAGCAGTTTTATAAAGCTCCTAGTAGGTGGTAGAGGAAGAAAGGAAAAAACCTCATTACTCCGTGGCCGTTCCTCTCTGGAGCCAAAGACCAGTCGCTAATCTAGCTCTGAGCCAGCAGACAGAGCGTGCAGCACCATCACCCCACTCCGCGCCGTCCGTCTGGTTCGCTGTTCAGTTGCTTAAGCAAAAGGCGCCTGCAGAATATCCCACTTCCCCGGCATCAGAAGGGGCAGGAAAGGCGGGCGGTGGCATCTGGTGCTTTGGCTGAGCTCTGCGCTCCCTGCTGCCTGGAAGGCGTCCACACCGAGAGGAAGCGGATGCCTGAGGTCCCCAAGGCACGTGGTAGCACGTGCATTTTCTGCGTGCCAAGCCCAGGGTCAGGCAGTGCCGAGGGGGTGCTCCTGAAGAGGTGGTGTTGCTCCCCCCGCCCCCCGGGCTGGAGCTGAGTGAGGGGGAGTGGAGGAGGCCTCCTCCTGGGGTCCATGATGTATCAGCCAAAAGACCATAGCAAAAGCTAGCCACGCCGTGAACTCTGGGGCTCTTCTGGCCAAGGTGGAGGACAGGACTACTGGGGGTGGACAATAAGACATTTTCTGGCCCCCAAAGTCTCCTCTTCCACAGAAACTTCATCCTATCAGCTCCTGTAATGTAGGAGCCAATAGCTTTTGGCTGTGACCTTCGACCTCTCAGGTTGAGAGCCTTAGGGCATGAATAAACACTGTGATCTAAATGTAAGTGGTTAAGCACCTGCCTAGCAAGCAACAGGCTGTGAGTTCAAATCCCAGTGCTGTAAAAAGAGAAAAAACAAACCAAACTAAATTCCAGAGTTCCAAGTGGGTCCTTCCTCTGCTCCCAGACTTGTGGGTGAGAACTGGGAGAAGCCAACACACTGTCCATCCTGAAATCAACCATCAGTGGCTCCAGGGTCATTTGTCCCTTTTTAATGACATTAGTCACACAGGCATAAAGATTTTTAAAAAGTCACACCATGCAGAAGATACAAAGCAAAAGGCCAGACTTTCTTTCCCCACCAGTCTCCACCATCCTCAGCTCTCCTCCCCAGAGAAGGCCATCGTGTAAGTTTTAATACCGTATGTGTCGCTCTGTGTCCACACAGAGTCTTAAGGCTTCCTTTCTGATAATTTAGTCCCATCAACTCTGTTTTTGCCCTCCAGGCTTCCTTACAATGGTCATTTAACTTGTCATTAGTCTGCTCAAGGACAGAATGCGCAAACAGAGAAGCCACCAGTGGGTCACTTCTGTCCTTGGCGAAGTTCCAGGCACAGAGGACACGGCCTCAAAGACTCAGTTCCCACATGACACAGGTGTTTGGTCTACACTTTTATTTTCCTTACTGGGAGATTAGTCCAGGTTTTTTTTAAGTGTTTTGGCAGTGCTGGGGATTAAACTCAGGGCCCCTGACAGATCGCTAGGCAAATGCTCCCCAACCCTGGGAAGCCATTCTAAAGCAGGCAGTCTGGGGAATGAGGTGAGGAAGAGCAAAGCAGCGTGTTTACCTCGATGGTCTGCACTCGGTGGAAGAAGGAGTTCATTCTGGAGAACGCCAGGGAAGAAGGAAACTCCCATGGTACAATTTCCTTGTCCTTCAGGAGAGAGAAAGGGCAGGGGAGGGTGCATGCTTGCTGCAATCCCACCTGCCTGCATGTTGGAGGTGTTCCCGCCCTGATTCGTGCTCTGGAGTCAGGAGGTACCTTGAAGAAAAGCTTCATGTTTTTGCAGCAGAAGTCGTAGGCCCGGAAGAGCTCCTTCAGGACGTTCACAGACAGTGAGATGTTATTAAGGACCTCCTCAATTTCGCCCTGCAAGCCTTTCAGCACTTCCTCTGGGCTCAGGAAGGATCGAGTCTGGACAAAAGAGAAGACAGACATCCTAAGATATCCCTGCCGAGTCCCCCAGAGTGAGGCTGTGGCACAGCAAGTGCAGGAAAGGAACAATCCCCATGATCTGCTTCCTTGGACACAGGGACTGTCCCTTGGGTCCGTGGCCCAGCCTCAGTGCCAACTGCAGGGCTGTTTTGAGAGGCCGAGCGGCTTCCAGACTTGGCCTCTCATCCCACACAAAGCTGCGGCAGAAACAGGGAGGGAGACGCAACCTCCTGCAGGCGGGTGCAAGCTTGCTTTTAATGAACGTAAGTGGCCGGGTTGCCCCTCTGTGGTTCAGCACTCATGGCTGCTAACTGTGCTGGTGAAAGGGAGAAGGAAAGGGATACATGGCGTGACTTGGTGCAGGACCAGATAAACCCACAAAGTGCCTAAGTCTAGGGTCTCAGTTTTCTCCTCCTCCGCCCTCCTTTCCTTTTCATCCTCCCTCCATATGCAGGAGCAAGGCCCAGGTCCTGGGAAAAGTCTAGAACACCACCAGGAGGAGTGGGCCTCAGCTCGGGGCTGGAGGTAAGGCCTGTCGTAAACCGCTGAGGAACATGGAGGAGTGGGGAGGGGTGGGGAGGAGTGGGGAGGAGTAGAGAGGGGAGGAGTGGGGAGGAGAGGAAAGGACTGGGGAGGAGTAGGGAGAGGAGGGGAGGGGAGAGGAGAGGACTGGGGAGGGGAGGGGAGGAGTGGGGAGGAGTGGAGAGGAGAGGAGAGGAGTGGGGAGGAGTGGGGAGGGGAGGGGAGGAGGGGAGGACTGGGGAGGGAGGGGAGGAGTGGGGAGGAGTGGAGAGGAGAGGACTGGGGAGGACTGGGGAGGGGAGGGGAGGAGTGGGGAAGAGTGGGGAGGAGTGGAGAGGGGAGGAGTGGGGAGGAGAGGAGAGGAGAGGACTGGGGAAGACTGGGGAGGGGAGGGGAGGAGTGGGGAAGAGTGGGGAGGGGAGGGAAGGAGTGGGGAGGAGTGGGGAGGAGTAGGGAGGAGTGGGGAGGGAGGAGTGGGGAGGAGGGAAGGAGTGGGGAGGAGTGGGGAGGGGAGGGGAGGAGTGGGGAGGGGAGGGGAGGAGTGGTGAGGAGAGGGGAGGAGTGGCGAGGAGGGGGAAGGAGTGGGGAGGAGTAGGGAGGGGAGGGGAGGAGAGGACTGGGGAGGAGTAGGGAGGGGAGGGTAGGGGAGGAGTGGAGAGGAGTGGGGAGGGGAGGGTGAGGTCACCATCTCGATGATCTGGTTGCAGAATTCCTGCAGGATGACGATGACCCTGGAGGGCGTGTTGTAGTGCTCAGAGGTGGCCCAGATGAAGCAGATGGTGTCCAGCACCTTGGCGATGAAGGTGGGGAGCTGGGGAGAGACGGGCCTATGACATATTGTCTCAGGTTTCCCCTTCCCATGGCTAGTGTTGGGCTTCCAGGAGCTGGTGACAACAAAGAGGGCTGAAGTTCCCTGGGCCCCCAAACATGAGACAGCCCCCACCCCTATAGAGGGAGTTCTCTGCCAACGCACCGACGTGAAGTCAGCCTGTTCCGTCTCTTCTAACAAGATACGCAGGGGCATCAGGTAGAGAACGACATCATTGGCTTCCTTCAGCCCTGAGTGTAACAAGAACAAGCCGTGTCACTATGGTAGGGAAAGCCGGTCAGAAATGGTGCCTGGGCAGCTCTGGAGGCTTCATGGCACCTGCTTCTTCAAGAAACAGGAGGAGGGGGCTAAGGAAACTGCTCGTGGGAAAGATGTAAACCCTGGGGTTGGTGATAGCTCATCCCAGCCCTTCCCAGAAGGCTGGTGGCTTCATCAGGAACTCACCTTCAGTGACATTCGTGTAAACGTTTTGCAGGGCTGGCCAGTAGCAGCTTTTGGCTTTTTCCAGGATCTCAACTATCTTGTTCACTTTGGGTCTGTTTAGCTAAGAAGGAGAACAACACAAGGTTTTCCATTGAACTCGAATTCCGTACGATGAGGGCAACCTGACTTGTGGCCACTGGAGCTAAGGAATTCACATGGACCATCAGAGCACCTCAGGGTCGCTGGGAAGTCAGCAAGGGGCTGAGTGCTGGTCCAGATTGCCCAGCAGGGATGGAGTTGCTGACTGCTGGGCCGTGGGTAGGACTCAGCCACCATGGTGGGGCAGAGGCCCTACCTGTTCGTGAATGCACTGAAGATTCATCAGCCGGGTGTCCCAGAACTCGAACTCGACCCGGGGCAGGGGGTGCAGCCCATCCAGCAAGGCCTGGGCAGAGTCTTTGCTCAGAACGTCCCGGATTTGGTGGGACCAGTCAATAATGATGGTCTCGATGGCGTGTAGTAGCGAGTTGTCCAGGGAAGAGGGGATCCTGCCAAGTACAGGTCAGGATGATGCTCTCATGGCAATGCACTCGTGGGTTCCTCTGAGCCCTGTGCCTTCTGGGAGGGACTCCATCTGTCCCTCCCCTAGTAGCCTGCAGCTGGGGGACACCAAGCCACCAGCAGCAGAGCCATGTCTGGTCTTATACCTCTGCAACAATGTTCCAGCCACCTCGTGGAGGGTGGGGCAGAGAATTTCCTAAGTCCCCCAGGTAGGAAGAGTGAGAGAGTGAGGGGTGGGAGTTATCAGACACGCTGGTGTCTGGACATGAGAGGAAGAAGGGCTGGGACTCTGAAACAAACTCCGTGTTAAGATGGTTCAGTCCCACATATGAATAATAAAATAATAAAAAAAATAAATAAATCAACAACTAATATCTATTTTATTTTAAAACTGCAGAATAGTACAAAGAAAATAAAAAGTCAGACGTATTGCCCCACCTGGAACTAAGTTGGCATATTTGCTCATTTTTTAAAAAATTTTTTCCTATTTATTGATTTTAATTTTTTAAATAAAAATGTATATATTTAAAAAAAAAAAAAAAAGATGGTCAGTCCCATCATTCTGATGGAGCCTCCACAGGCCTTGTGTGGAGACCTTGGTGAATGATCCGTGGAGGACCAGCCCCTGGAGCAGTCACCCTCATATACTCATTGTGGACAAGTTGTCACACTGGTAAGAGTTTTAGTCTCACACGTGAAGGCATATGCAAATGGTGGCCGGGCAGGTGTGTCAGAATGTCTTGGGATTTCTTGGACTTCCCAGGGCCTCTGGGATGTCAAAGCCTCTACCTAGACTCACATCCACCTGCCAAAAACTCCTTCCATTCCTTCTCTCTGCCCCTCAGCTCCTGCATGCTGCTTCCTATGTGAACAGCTGCGATGACTTCTGTGTGCCATGCGGTGATTACACACATGCATAATGGAGGGGACAGAGTGAAGGTGGGTCCCTTCCTGGGCGTAGATGCTGCTCGGTGATTGCCAGAGTGGAATTCCAGGGGCTTCCACACCTCCTCCTTTCCTACCCTCGTACCATGTATGACAGACTTGGCACCACCCAATGGCATCCTCTTGCACTCAAACCTTCCATTAGCTTCAAAACACAAAGCCAATCTACAATGACACATTGTGTCAGCTGTGGTCACTGTTCAGGAACTTCCCTGTCCAGCCAATTATAGGAAGCCTGGTGGTGTCCACCCACCTCTGCATGGACTCCAGCGTGCCGTCCAGGCTCCCCAGGTGCTCTGGGATGGGTAGCAGTGTTTTCCCCTTGATCTTGCCCCCCATCACAAACATCTCATTCTTCAGCTTGTGGACCTGCTTGACAATGTCTTCGGAGACCACCTGGGGCCATCCATCCATGTTCTCTTTTTGGTTTAGCAGAGAGTAGAGGACCTGAAAGGAGACACAGCTACCATTCAGTTTGGCCTTCCCTGACCACTCCAGGGAGCCAGGCCTCCTGGAGGACTTGGAGGAGCTTGGTGCTCACAAGCCTGGGAAAGTAGGGTTTTTCCTCCACACCAAGAGTGGGAGCAGTTGGGGTTTTTGGAACAGTGACAACAGCGCAGCTCCCTTGTCTTTCAGTGGCCAACCCCTCTCCAAGAAGGGAGACCCAGATTTTTCAATGGTGGCACCACACACTATGAGCTGCCCAGGAGGCTGTGATGGGCTGGGCAGTGTCCCCAAGCCCCTACATCTTGGGATGTGACTGCAATTGGAGATAAGGCTTTTAAAGAGGTAATTCAGGTAAATGAGGTCAGTAGGCTGGGCCCTAATCCAACAGGACTCCTGTCCCATAGAAAGAAGAAACGAGCACACAGACACACATACAGAAGACCATGTGAGGACCCAGGGAGGAGCCAAGTCAAGCACAGAGGCCTCAGAAGAACCAACCAGCTAACATCTGGTCTCAGACCTCAGCTTCCAGAACTGCGGGAGACCAAGGGTCTGTGGCCGAAGCCCTGAATCTGTGGCAGTTTGTATGGGGACTGAGCTGACCAAGCCTGCTATGCTCCCAAGTCTGGGACTCAAGGCTAAGAAGCCCTGCGATCACCTCAACCTGGGCCCTGCTAGGTGGCCCTTGGTTTAGTGTTTGCTTCTCTTTGGATGTATACTGGCAGGGACCCAGGTCCTCATTCTGGAAGGCTGGGTAAGTCAGCCTGTGCCTGCCTGGTTTCCAGAGTGCCCCCCCACCACTGCACCTGCTAAGAGCTGGAGCAGACAGGACAGGAACAGAGGGCAGAAAATGTCCCCTTTCTACTCTAAGTTTCAGGGGAACCCTTCCTAGTGGTACACGGGTGGCCCACACCTCTGCACCCATGGCACAGGCTGTCCCCAGCACAGGCAGGCGGCCGTAGTGCCAAGGGCAGCACTTCTCAGACTCCCATGGCTTCACCTGGAGGTCATGCATGGAGGCAGGTCTGTCTGCATTTTTAACCAGCTTCCAGGAGAAGCTGCTGGGCCCCTGACTACACTCAAACAGCTCTTGGGTCCCTCACTGAAAGTCTGAGGAACAAAGATGGTAACTCCTGTGCTTCGAACCCCTGGTCCCCCAGCCGGCCTGGATGCACACACCTCTTCCACAACGGCAATCAACTGGTCCACGGGTGCAGGGCTGATGTCCCCATAGAGGAGGCGGGTCTTGTAATTGTCCTTGTTGATATTTTCCGGCTTCGACTTGATAAAGTAAACCCCTTTGCTCTTGAGGGACTCGGGGAAGCCAAGGCAGGGGACGAGCATGCCGGCGACATTGAGAGTGAGCACCAGCACGGGGATGTCAGGCTTTTCAAAGAATTCTGTGAACAAGGTCATGTTCTCCTCTGCTCCAACCAACTTACTCCACTTGTCTGGCTTGAACTTGAGAAGCATGGTAGCAATTTGCTCCAAGTACTCAAGTCTGATGTCCTGTGGAGTCGTCATGGCGGCCACTCCTTGCACCAAGGTCCTCTGTAAAGTGAACAGAGGACAGGGGCTACCTGGGCTTCCCATTTCCCCACCATCCCAGGACCACAGGAAATCTCTGTCCCAAACAAGCAAAGTCGAAAAGGCTCATGACAAGTTTCTTAGCTGTGGATGGGTTGGTGGGGGAGGTGGGGCAAGCCAGTCATGTCCACTTGCTCTGGCTGGACACTTGTCCCCCTCCTGCTGTGGGTGTCACAGCAGTTGACATAACTGTGTAATGAGTGCCGTGTGCTTGTGTTACTTGTGACCATAAAGTTAATATGCTGAAGAGATAGATAAGAGGGAGCGACACCCCCATACAGTGTGGAGACGATGGGGCAGAAAGTGAGGAGGCAGGTGTGAAGTTCGGGGTGAGCCTCCACCTTCACACTGGCAGTGGTGCACCCTTGACATCATTAGTCTGCAGTCCCCAAAAGACACGTCCTGTGGAAGAGCTGGGATGCCACCCCAGTCACTAACTACCTTGTGGCAAAAGCAGCCGTGTGGAACGGCAGCAGGAATACCTCGGGTGCTTTTGCAGTGACCTGGGATTTCTCGGGGCCTCAGTCTCACTGTGAGAGCACACTGGGCAGGTACCCGCAGTGAGCAGGAACCCAGGGAAGTTGGGGAGCAAAACCCACCAGACGCAGCCCATCTGTGAACAAAGTGGACCCCACTGGCAACTCTGCCACTCGGAGGAGCCACACTGCTTGTCAGGTGTCCCCGAGGGCTTTGCTGCTGAGTTGGCCACCCCACTCTGGGAGTTCCTTAAGATGGGCACTGTGCTCTTATTTTAAGGGTATTTTCCTGCGTGTCCTGCGAAATTGGTGGCGTTATCCAAGTTAAAGGAAACGCTCTAGTTTGCTTATTTGGGGTTTGGGCTTTTACAAAATCAGTTTTCTTCTGAGAATAGCATTGAGGTGGACTCCTACACCCCGCGTCTGTCATGTGAGGGACCCCAGGTCCTCCATGGTTCCTTCCCCATCCATCAGATGGTCTCGTCTCAGATTCCTGCCCTGCCTTTTCCTGGAGTGCTGGCCAGGAGGTGGCAGATAACAAACAGTGCTATCCCATGTTGTGCTCCTGATGGGGACAGGAAGGCTTCTCCAGGGGTGGCCACTGGACCAGGCCCCCAGGTGGGGGGATTCTGGGAGAAGTCAGTGGGTGGAGGCAGAACTCACTCAGGACAGGCTGGGAGCCTGGGGAGGGGCCAGGTCTGTCATCAGCAGCTGCCATGCTGGCCCAGGCCCCCAACTGCTCCAGGTGGGGAGCAGGGCCACTGCTGAGTGGGTGGTGGGTCCTCCAGGACCTGGGCTCCCTCTGCGTTCTGAGGCCCCCTTGGTTCTCCCCCAACCACTGGACACCATTCTTAGCTGCTTACCGGCTTCACACAAGTGTCTGCTCCTGTGGTGAGTGGGACAAACCGTTTCCCAAGCCAGGAAAGGAAATGGCTCCCGTCCCTCGAGGGGCTCCAACTGCCACAGAACTTCTGGAAGTTTCCTCAGGGTACCTGGGACTTCTAGAACCTTCTCCTTGGCTTATACATTTTTGTTTTGTTTTTTGGCACTGGAGGTCAAACCTAGGGCCTTGCACATGCTAGGCAAGTGCTCTACACTGAGTTCCACCCTGACCCCAAATTCTATGGTTTTTTTTTTTTTTTGTGGTTTTTTTTTTTTGGCGGTACTGGGGTTTGAACTCAGGGCCCTGCACTTGTTAGGCAGATGCTGTACCACTTGAGCTATGCCCCGGTCCTCTTTCTTTTTTTTTTTTTCTTTAGTTATCTATCTGATAGGGTCTTGCATTTTTGTTTGGGGCTGGCCTCAGACCACAATCCTACCTAAGACCCCCAGTAGCTGGGATTACAGATATGCACCACCACACCTAGCTTGTTGGTTGAGAGGAAGGGGGTGCGGATCTTGCTAACTTTTTGCCTGGGCTGGCCTCAAACTGTAATCCTTCCAGTCTCTGCTTGCCGAGTATCTGGGATTACAGGCACAAGCCACTGTACCCGGCCTAAGCTGTAATTCTTCAAACTCAACCAAGCACGCTTTGCCTCTGAATGGGTGCATGCAATCCATTTTCAGTTCATGGAATGACTGGCGTTGGGATTTGCATCTATCGTCTTATTGTGTGCTTTCTGTTTGTCTGGCCTCATCCACGTTCCCTTTCCTTTCTTGCCTTCTTCTGGATTAAACCATTTTTATTATGTCCTACTCTAAGCTGTAATTAACTTGGTTTTTGCACTCTTGCTTTCTTTCTAGAAGTCCATGGAAATCACAGCATCTGTCCTGTCGTGTCACAGCCGCACACTCATCACTTCTGCTCTTCCTGGACCAGGCAGGAGAAGTGGAACGGTTTTCCGGTCTCTCCTGATTCAGACACTCTTTGTTAGCCTGCCTTCTGTTGCTGTACCCGGATACCACAGAGTGGACAACTTATAAAGAATGCAGGTTTATTTAGCTCATGGCTCTGCAGGCGAGGAAGGCCACAGGCAGGGGTGGGCATCTTCTCAGCATCTAGTACAAGCCGTCGTGCTACACCGCAACGTGGTAGAGGGCACCCTGTGTTGAATCTGCACAATTGTGCTAGACAGAGCTCACCTTTATAACAAAGCCACTCTCTATTATTTTACAGATGGATCAACCCATTCATCCCTGATCCTGTCACCTCCCAACACTGCTGTATTGGAGACCAGGTTTCAGCCCATGAAATCTGAGGAGAGGGCACATTAAAACCATAGTGGTTGTCATAAATTTTAATTCTAAAACCTTAGTTATTAATGATGTAGTTAAGTAGCTGGTATTTACGTAAATATTCATCACCCCCCCCCATGTTCATCCTTTTCTTTTTCTTCTTGTACCTCTGAGCTTCCACTGGGATCAACTGCTTTCTGCTTCTCCTAAGGTCAGGAACAAGAAAGACAAGAAGGTCACTCATCACCTCTGCTCCTTACCGATGCTCTAAAGTCTCCAGCCATGAAAGCTGTCAAGGAAAGGAAAATAAAAGCAATTCAAATAGGAAAAGAAGTAAAATTCTCACCATTCACAACAATGTGATCTTGTATGTAGAAAATCCTGTATAGCTATCCAGCCAGGTTGCAGAACAGGAGGGTTTTTTGTTTGTTTGTTTTGTTTTTGAGGTGTGATCTTGCTATGTTGCCCAGGCTGGCCTTGAACTCCTAGGCTCAAGTAATTCTCCTGCTTTAGCCTTCCAAGTAGCTGAAACTACATGCATACCCCATAGTGTCCTACTAGGATGTAAGAGTGATATGCAAAAATCAGCTGTATTTCTATACACTAGCAAGAATAACCTGATGTTGAACTCAGAAAGAAATTCCTGTCTGGTTTCCTCCCTGTTTCCTGGACCAGTTCCTGGAAAGGGGGAAGAGTAACCTGGAGGGAAGTGACTTTTCTGGCTCAATACAGAGGTTTCTCTTTTTTGCTTCTTCTCACACCCTATTGGTCCATGCTTAGTCACATGGCCACAACTAGCTGCATGGGAGGCTGGGAAATGTAGTTTCTAACTGGCATCCATGTGATCACTTGTCTACATAGATGGATGAAGGAGATTCCATGGAAGAGTTGTCAGTTTCTACACCTGCTGGGTTCCTCAGAGCTCCAGGCTACTACCTGAAGTCCTCACAGGTCCCCTAAAAACTCAGTGTGTATAAACTGACTTCTTCCTCCCCCTCCCCCATCTAGTCTTCCTTCAGGGCTTCTTGGATCACTTAGTGACCCTTTAGCTGCTCAGGTGCCCAGTGAGGATCCTGGCTGTTACCAGCCAACAGTGCATCTCAACGTCTCTGAACTCTGCCCACCTCCCACTGCTCTTGGCCCAAGCTGCCCTTGTCCTCAGTGAGTCTGTGGCTATCCTCGTTCACTTGTCTATACCTACTCTTGCCTCCCATCACCAGCATCTTTTAAAAAGACATCTGCCATATCAACACCCCACTTAAAGCCCACAACAGCTTCCTGACTCTCTTAGGATAAAATCCAAATACTCTCAATGGACCCCATAAAATTTGGTTCCTACCCTACCCCTTACTTCTCACCCCTGGGCCCAACCCTGCCCCGGACTCTGGCCACACTGGCCTCTTTCAGCTCCACAGTAGGGCCTTGCTACCTGGCCTAGAATTCTGCACTCACACATGTGTCTGCACACTCATGAACACATGCATACACGTGCGGCCACACCTACCCCACCCTCAGGACCACAGCTGCGTGCCCTTCCACTCAGGCTCCCCCACAGCTCTTTCGGCTCCTGTGCCCCCAGAAAACGCCCTTCATGGCTGCAACCAGTCATTCACACAATCGCTTGCCTCGCTCATTCTGGTGCCCACACATCTGATAAGCATGGCCCCTCCAGGATCTGGCACTGTGCCTGGCCCATGGCAGGCTTTCGAGAGCTGTCATTGAAAGGACAAAGGTTCCGAGAAGTCCTGGTGTAAGGAGATGTGTTAAACCTATCACACTCCAAACTTTCTTGGCCATGGGGCCGTCTTCCTTCAGACCTGCATCCCTGTTCTAAGGATCAGTGTTCTAGAAAGACTAGTCCAAGGCTTCAACTGCTCCAACTTCTACCCAAATTGTACTGATCCAGGGCTTCTAAGTTCATAAGCCTGAAACACCAAGGACTAAATGTCTAATGATAAAATGGTGAGTGTGGGAGGGAGAGGGGGAGATGCCCCGGGGCCCTCAACCCACAGCGCCAGGGATCTTGCCTGGCATTGACTGACTCATGATGACGTCAGTTTCAACAGCTCCTCACACCCCACACTGTGAAGACACAAAAGGAATCCCCTTCTCTAGGCGGCCTTCATGCAGACACATGGTCTGCTTCCACACGGAAACCCCAGACTGAGGAAGAAGTCAGAGCGGCATGAGCAAAGCCGCACCATTTACCTTTCTAACTGGGAGATGGGCAGAGCAAAGTGCAGGCAGCTCCCTGCTGGGTGCCAGCCAAGGACTCACTTGCTCATT